CAGTGGTAGGGGAAGAGTAACGAACAACTACAGCGTTGTACAGGGCTTTGGCAGTCTTGTGCTGGCCAAAGTGAGCGCGTTCGGCTAACGACAGGTGGTTGCGAACGGCTAAGCGAGCAGCAACATCACGGGTAAGCCACTGTGAGCGAGTCGCACTGTCAGCTGTGGCGGGAGGGGCGAGAGAGGCTCCAGACGTGTGGTCAAACAACGAAACGCTGTCTCTAGAATCACTCAGTAGGTACAGCTGTAAGTCGTCGAGCCACGTATCGAACTGGATCGGACGACCCTCATGATCGAAGGTGAGTACACTGAGAGAAGCCATAGCGGGCAGAGCAGGGTGGCGAGCGACCTGTAGGGTGGCACGCAGGCAGGGCGGCGTGCGAGCACTAGAGCACTAGAGAAGCGCGCAGGGAAGGGCAGGCCGGTGCGACTGGCAACAGGGCGGCGCACGGGCAGCAGGGCGGCGCGTGGGTAGCAGGGCGTCGGCCAGCAGGGCGGTGTACAACAGGGCGGGCAGCAGCAGGGCGGCGCGGGCAGGGCGGTGCGGGCAGCGGTGCGGCTGCCAGCAGGGCGGCGCGCGGGCAGCAGGGCGCAGGCCAGTAGGGTTGCGCTCAGCAGGGCGGGCAGCAGCCGGGCGGCGCAAGCAGCAAGGCGGCGCGTTGCAGGGCTGTGCGGGCAGCAGGGCGCCGGCCAGCAGGGCGGGCAGCAGCAGTGCGGTGCGTGGGTGCAAAGGGCGGCGCGCGGGCTGCAAGGGGCGGCGCGCGGGCTGCAAAGGGCGGCGCGGCGGGCTGCAAAAGGGCGGCGCGCGGGCTGCAAAGGGCGGCGCGGCGGGCTGCAAAAGGCGGCGCGGCAGCCAGCAGGGCGGCGCGACAGGCAGGGCAGGGCGGGGCAAGGCAGCTCGATTAGTGGGGTCTGCGCGACTAGTGGGGCAGTGCTATTCGGTGGGCCCTAAATAAAACGGTCCTGGAACAGGACCTGCTCTGATACCATGTCAGAATACTGAACGAGAATGGATGAACTATGAATGAGTTGCCCGACAGGTACGGTCGCCGTCAGCCTCCCACTTCTGCACCTCAGGGCTCTCCTGCTGGAGGTTCTTCTGCTGGTGTCGCTGGTCCCAGAGGTGCTCGTACTGGGGGTACTGGAGCTGCTGGGGCTGGTGGTGGTGCTGCCGGAGGTACTGGAGCTACTGGCGGTACTGGAGCTGCTGGAGGTGCTGGAGCTGCTGGAGGTGCTGGAGCTGCTGGAGGTGCTGGAGCTGCTGGAGGTGCTGGAGCTGCTGGAGGTGCTGGAGCTGCTGGAGGTGCTGGAGCTGCTGGAGGGGCTGGTGCTGCTCGTGCTGGTGGCACTGCTCAGCCACGCCTGTTTTTCGCTCCACCGTCTCAGTCGTCTCAGCCACCACCTGACTCTGCACTTCGCCAGGTTCTCGGTCTTCCCTCGTCTACTGGTCTTCCGTTACAGCCTGGCTCACCGCTGCCTGCTCCTTCTCCGTACACAGAGTAGCCTGGTGGCCTTGCAGAGCGTCGTGAGCCTGCGTCGCGTCCTGTCTCCCCTGTCAGTTCCAATCGTCGTGTTCCTAGTCAGAGCCAGCCGGCTGTCTCCGGCCCTCCCCTTGTAGTTCGTCGTCCTTCCTCTCCTTCGCCGCGTGTTCCTCTGCCGCCTCCCCCTGCGTCCTCTCTGCCTGTCGTTGCTGACCGTGCGTCTGACCGGTTTCGTGCTGAGACTCTACTGTCACGCGTCTGCTTGCCACTGTTGTCACTGACCCGTCGTTTGAGTCTGCTGCTGCGTCTGCCTTAGTCACTGAGCTTGTTGCCTTTGCTGCTCACTGTCGTCTAGACTACGCCGCCAGTCTTGTTGCTGAGTCTGCGTCTGTCTGTCCTCCGACCGTCGGGGGTGAGTGTGCTCTTGGCACGGACGTCCTTGAGGACAGTCAGGAGGACCTTGAGTGTCTTGCAGCCGCTGCGCCTCATCTCGTATCCATGCTGCTTGCCCCTGAGGGAGACCCGGATGCACCAGACATCCCTACCCCGCGCTCGTACGCTGAGGCGATAGCGGGTGAGTACTCCTCTCAGTGGCAGACAGCCATGGACGCAGAGATGGCATCCTGGAAGTCCACAGGCACCTACGTCGATGAGGTTCCCCCTCCTGGGGCGAACATTGTCAGTGGCATGTGGATGTTCAGGGTGAAGCGGCCGCCAGGTTCTCCGCCTGTCTTCAAGGCTCGTTACGTGGCTCGAGGCTTCAGTCAGCGAGAGGGAGTTGACTTCTTCCAGACCTTCTCCCCCACCCCGAAGATGACCACTCTTCGGGTGCTGCTGCACGTTGCCGCCCAGCGTGACTACGAGCTTCACTCTCTTGACTTCAGCACAGCCTTCTTACAGGGCAGCCTGCACGAGGAGATCTGGCTGCGCCGCCCTCCTGGCTTCACTGGGTCGTTCCCTCCTGGTGCCCAGTGGAGCCTCCGACGGCCGGTCTACGGTCTCCGCCAGGCTCCACGTAAGTGGCACGACACACTGAGGACGACACTTGCGGCTCTTGGGTTTGCTCCGTCGACTGCTGACCCGTCGCTGTTTTTGCGCACCGACACTTCGCTGCCGCCGTTCTACGTTCTCGTGTACGTCGACGACTTGGTCTTTGCCACTGCTGACACTGAGGCTCTCGCCCTGGTGAAGTCGGAGCTGCAGAAGAGACACACGTGCACAGACCTGGGTGAACTGCGCAGCTATCTTGGCTTGCAGATCACCCGGGACAGAGCACGGCGCACCATCACACTGACTCGGTCACACATGGCGCAGCACGTCCTTCAGCGCTTCGGTTTCACCTGGTCCTCAGCACAGGCCACTCCTCTGGCTACAGTTCACTCGCTCTCAGCTCCACCTTCGGACGAGTCCGTAGAGCCGAGTGGTCCTTACCCAGAGTTAGTGGGCTGCCTCATGTACCTGATCACTTGCACTCGTCCTGACCTTGCGTACCCTCTTGGCCGTCTGGCTCACTACGTGGCTCCTGGTCGGCACCGAAAGGTGCACATGGATGCTGCCAAGAGGGTACTACGCTACTTGTGCAGTACATCGGGCATGGGGCTCGTGCTTGGAGGACGGGGTGACGTTGTCCTCACTGGTCACTCGGACGCCTCTTTGGTTGACGACCAGGCTACGCAGCGGTCGTCACAGGGTTACACCTTCAGCCTTGGTTCTGGTTCAGTTTCCTGGCTCTCTACACGTTCGTCTTCAGTTCTCGGCTCCAGCTGTGAGGCAGAGATCTACGCCACAGCCATGGCTGCACAGGAGCTGCGCTGGCTCACCTACCTGCTGACCGACTTGGGAGAGCGGCCTCGTTCTCCTCCAGTTCTGTACGTCGACAACAAGGCCGCCATTGCCTTGTGTCAGGAGCACAGACTGGAGCACAGAACAAAGCACATCGCTCTCCGTTACTTTCTTGCTCGAGAGCTGCAGCAGCGTGGCCAGCTTCGTCTTACCTGCGTGGCCACTCGGGCCAACACTGCTGATATATTCACCAAGGCGCTTTTGGCTGGTGATCATCAGCGTTTCTGCACTTTGTTAAGCCTTGTGCCCACGCTTCCTCACTTGCTGTAGGCTTTGTTTGTACCATGATTTATATGTATTCCTGCATGCTTGTTCTTGTAGGTAGATATCACTGTACTGTTGTTGTTACATATATATCTCTGCATGTGAACTGGCCTTGTGGCCTTCTTGCTTGTGCTCAGACTGCGTGGTGACGTTGTGATCCACCCTGAGCTTGGTTTGCACTTCCTGCCTAGCCTTGTGACCCTCTGTTCTCCCCCACTTTGCCTATGGGGGTGTGTCAAACATATGTGTATATGTTGTTGTTTAGATAGGCTTTAATGGGGTACTCAATGTGGGGTACAACCCCTTAGGTTTCATTCTTGTACCAAACCTCTCGACATTGCAATACAACTTTGCCTAGGATTCTAACAGTACTAACCCTAATTGGGTTGTACCCCTTATGAGCTACCCCACTACAGCCTAAACAATGTAAGCATTATAACATTTTGACAGTGCTGGCGCCGGCACTTCTACATACTCATCTGCGGCCTTGATGCGTTCAGGTTCAGAGAGGTACTCGTCGAACGCCGACGGGTTCAGGAGCGTGAGCACGAGGGGATTTGGAGGAGCAGGAGGAGCAGGCGGCGCAGGTGGCGCTGGAGGAGATGGCGGCGCAGGTGGCTCGAGAGGTTGTGGTGGCATTGGGGGCTCCGGCGGGACACGGCAATACCAGCCGTCCTCGGTAACTCGATAGGCGGCCCTAGGCATCTTCTTGAAGAGAAAGTAGGTGCCAGTGAATTCCGCCATGGCTTCCGCAGCCTGGCAGGCGAAACTGGAAAATGAATATGAAAGTGCAAGAATGGGAGAAGAGAAATGGACTTATGAGGGGACCCCTTCGAGGGAGCGGCTCGGGGTTCTCGTCGATATCAGACGGTGACCCCCTGCCTCAACCCGCAGAGGAGGGTTCGCAGCACCTCACATGCTACGCTAGCAAGGCATATTCGTGCCCTTTCTAGAAGGGTCGGACGAGATGCTCCTGGTTGGCAACGCATGCGAAGGTGATTGGGCCGCACGATGGATACGAGTTTAGCCGTGGCAGATGCGTTGCTTCGGGGCGGGTTTTGTGCGGTGGGAAATTGAGTCGTTGCTGTTTTCGTCTGTTATTCATGCACAAGCCCACGAGAACGTTTCACACTTGTATTCGCCTTATTGTGGGCTTCGATTTGAGACCCTTTAAAACAAATTTCTTTTTTTCCTTTATATACGTGCATGCGCTTATGCCCTTTACTCATTTACAAGCGCCCCCCCCCCCCCCCCCCCCCCCAAAAAATGATTTTATTATAAGCGCGTGATACTGTACCAGTGTCGTACTTGAGTCCCCTGCGGCACCTTTCACGCATGCTGCTGGCAAAGAGCACTCGGGTGGTGCTTGATGGTTGCACGGCCCACCCACGTGGTGCTGTCTGTGACCTTAAATCATGGCAAAATGGCACCAGTGTCGTACTTGAGTCCCCTGCGGCACCTTTCGTGCATGCTGCTGGCAAAGAGCACTCGGGTGGTGCCTGATGGTAGCGCAATCTTGTAGCGCCCCACCCACGTGGTGCTGTGCAGCAGGATTGCTATGGTGAAGTTGCATTGATCGAATTGCTTCTTGTTGAGAGAAGCTACGACGTCATTGGGGAAGCCCCACCACTTGAACACTGCCAGCCAGGCGTGCCACGGCAGGTGAAGGGGAGGGAGATTGAGACGCAGAAAAGGCATAACGAAGCTGTGCGCACGAAGGCATGCAGTCAGGCACACAGACAGGAACACAAGCAGAGGAATGCATGGGGGAAAAGACAGGCACACACATGACACAGGCGTATGAAGATGTGTGAAGAGCCGTACCAGTGAGGCATTGCCTCCTGATTCCGACACAGAAGGTCTATTTCTTGAAGGAAACAAAACGTATATTGAAGCTGCAGGGATGCGAGGCTCGCAGCTGACATGGCTTGCTGCTGACAGCATGCCGCACGCAACAGGATACAGCGGGCATGCAGGTCTCACCAAGAGTGTCCCCCACATGCAGCACCGGCTTCTTCCACACCCGCATGCTCCACTCGCTCCATGGACTCACGCCCCCCCCTCCCACCACCACTAGCTTCGCCTGCTCGGGTGAGAGTGGAGGGTTTGGGTGAAGGTAGGTGGGTAGCAGGCAACAACACCCATGCATCATGAGCACCCGATAGTTTCAACTGAACAATGAATTTCAATGAGTTTAACAACAGCATGCGTGTCGGTTATTTCAGGCGTTTCACACCATCACCCCCATCACTGTGTTCATACCTTGGTCGTTGAAGGCACTGCGGAGATTACAGGCACATCCAGCAATGGTGGATGCATGGGAGCGAGGCATGGGAGCGAGGCATGGGAGCGAGGCATGGGAGCGAGGCATGGGAGCGAGGCACGAAAGGGAGGCATGGGAGGGAGACGTCGGAACGAGGCATGGGAGGGAGGCATGGGAGGGAGGCATGGGAGGGAGGAATGGGAGGGAAGCATGGGAGGGAGGAATGGGAGTGGGGCATGGGAGCGAGGCATGGGAGGGAGGCACGGGAGGGAGGCACGGTAGTGGCAAAGAAGACGCATGGAGGGGCAGAGGGGGCGGAGAGAGACACACATGGGGAGGGAATGAAGACATGAGCTGGAGGTGAAACTTCAATTCTCACCCAAGGACTTGGAACACAGTGCTTCCTTGTAGTGATAGTCGATGATTGTACGGCACCTTGAGCGAGTCACAGTACAGTAGCTTACCTGCAAACACAAGAAAGACAGTCAAGAGCAGCGCAACGTGACCCAGTTGCGAGTGCGAGAACAGGACCGCCATTGCAGAGCGTTGAGCGCGGCTTCGAAGGGGTTGGTACTGACGAGGCGCACCTTCAGAGATTTCTAACGTTTTTTTCGGCTCGCACAAGGGTCGTCGAGAACACAGCCGCAAGATTTCATAGGGTTCTCTGGCCCCGTGCTTGCGAAGAGCAGCGTTTCTTATAAGCGACTGCGAAGCCTGACCCCTGACGCTGGGAGAGAGCGAGCGCAGAGCCGGCGCCAGAGCAATCTGGCTTGAGAGGGAATAGGTGGCGGCGGATAGCCGTTGGTCGGCTCGCTAACGTCGCCCCCATCGCGGTGGCGAGTTTCGTCCTTCATGCGACTTGCCATGGCAAGTCAGCAACGGGAGACCTAGCATTGTATTCTGTGAATCACCCGTTTCTGTTCGGGTCTTGCAGCAAAAGGTTGAGTTGTTGCGTTCCCAGTAAGTGCGTGGTAAGCGAAAGGGGAACGGGAAGGAAGCTGGTAGGCGCGTGCTTAGCGAAGCGATACCGAACTTTCTGGAACTGGCACATTTTCCCAAAGGAAGCAAGAACTGATTTTGATTGAACGAACGGACCACACGTGTGCGAACACGTGTGGCGCCGACGCGACGATAAGCTCTAAGGAGAAAGGCATCACTCGCTGCGAGGAAGGCAAGAACGTCGGTGCGGTCGGCGAATGCTTCTCCAATGGGATTGGTGGCGTGCTACGAGGGAATGTGCGAGTTGCTGGCGCGTGGCAGAAAGATGGTGGTCAAAGAGGGACAAACAGACAGACTAGAGGGGGCGAGGCAATAAGAGAGGGGAAATGAGATGCTGCAGATCAGGGCGGATTTCCAGTGCAAGTCTTCGAAACGCCCCGAAACTGTTGTGGTTTTGGCGGCATGGAACCTTGCAGCGAACAATCGACTCTATGAACGAAGTAACCACACGTGTCGTACTCACGTCCCGCAACCCACAGGTTGCAGAAACAATCCTTCGCCGCAAAACGTGTCGCAGCTTCTCGCAAAATGTATCACGCAGTAACCACACGTTTCAGGCTGATTGTTGTTCCATGTAGGCTCGGTTCCAAACCGGGGTTTGCAAGTCCCCCATATGTGTGGCTCGGAGAAAAATATTGCCGGGACTTGAACTCGGGTCTCTCGGGTGAGAGCCTAGTATCCTAACCGACTAGACTACAACGGATTTCTTGAAGATTTTTATAATATTTATTTATTTAAAATGATTCCCGTTCGAGTTGTGAGGTGTCGTGCTGAGTGGGTCGAGCAGTGAGTGGGAGGAGCAGCCATGGCGGGCATGGGCGATGGATACGTGGGCACGGCGGCGGACGCGGTGCGGATTCGGCGGCTGGAGAAGCAGCGCGAGGAGGAGCAGGCGAAGATGGAGGAGTTGCGGAAGAAGTCGTCGCAGGGCCTGCAGGGGCTGCTGCAGTTCGGCACCGCCACCTCCGAGGTGCGCCCTCCGCGCGCGCCTTTCCCGTTACAGTGCGCACGTAGCTGCGCGCTGCGCTCCGCGCACGTCCCCCCCGCCACAATACCCGTCTAGCTGAACCTGGGTCGGAGCTCTCTATGTAATCCAGGCGTCGCGGCTGCGACCAAGTAGTACGAGCCTTAGACGTTTGCGGTAGGAGGTCGCAGAGTGCGGTGACGAGACGCGGAATTCCTGACCCCTTCGCTTCGCCGCAAGCGTCGCGTCGAATTCACACAGGGGGCGACGGAGGCCGTGCTGAGCGCGTAGCGATGGCCGCAAGCACCCCCCGCCCCCTGTACCCGTCTGGCTGAACCTCACCGCAAGCGCCCCTCGCCCCCGATTAGGGATGGCCCGGGCCGCGAGCGAGGAGCTTTAGCCGATGGCACTGCGTGGGTGGGCTCTTACGCACATCACCACGCGCCCCCGTGCCTGTCCTCGTCGAGTGACGTCACCGCAGCGACCGCAGCGACTGCCCTCCGCATGTGTCTCTCTGGCGAAGTTTCTTGCGCCCGACCTCACCTCACCATCTCCCCCCCTCTCTCCCTCACCTCACCATCTCCCCCCCTCTCTCCCGACCTCACCTCACCATCTCCCCCCCTCTCTCCCTCACCTCACCATCTCCCCCCCTCTCTCCCTCACCTCACCATCTCCCCCCCTCTCTCCCTCACCTCACCATCTCCCCCCCTCTCTCCCTCACCTCACCATCTCCCCCCCTCTCTCCCTCACCTCACCATCTCCCCCCCTCTCTCCCTCCGCCCCGCTCTCCCTACCGCTCTCCTTATCCTCGCCCTCCCTCCCCCCTCCCCTTCCCCCCCCTCGTCCCTCTGTCCCCCTTTCCCCCCGTCCCCTTCCCCCACAGACGCTAGAGACGGCGTTCAAGAAGCAGACGGTGGGGCTCGTCACGCGCGAGCAGTTCGTTGAGAAGGTGCGCGGGGGAGGGGAGCATGGGGGGCATGGGGGGCAGGAAGGAAGCACGCAGGGGGCATAGGGGTAGCTAGGTTGGCAGGGGGCCAGACGGTGGGGCTCGTGACGCACGAGCAGTGGGTGCAGAAGGTGGGGGGGGGAGGGAGGGGTAAGGGGGAAGGGCTTGGGGGGCCATGGGAACTGGGGAGAGCAGGCTTGGGGGGCCATGGGAACTGGGGAGAGCAGGCTTGGGGGGCCATGGGAACTGGGGAGAGCAGGCTTGGGGGGCCATGGGAACTGGGGAGAGCAGGCTTGGGGGGCCATGGGAACTGGGGAGAGCAGGCTTGGGGGGCCATGGGAACTGGGGAGAGCAGGCTTGGGGGGCCATGGGAACTGGGGAGAGCAGGCTTGGGGAGCCATGGGAGTGCATGGGGGGGGGGAAGATGGGGGTAACTAGTTAAACAAGGGGGTTACGGTGGAAGGAAACTAGGAGGAAGGGAGGGGGTGGGGAAACCAGGCAGAGGGTGCGTGGGTAGGGGTGTTCCTGTGCTGTGAGGGCTACGTATAGTGCTGGGCGTTCACTGCCCCGCTCATTGGTGTGAATCGATCTGTTTCGTTTGTCCCATGTTCCTCGTATGGCATGGCATGGCGTGGCATGGCATGGTGTGGCATGGCATGGCGTGGCATGGCATGGCGTGGCATGGCGTGGCATGGCATGGCGTGGCATGGCATGATGGCATGGCGGGGAGCAGAGGGCAACGCTGCGCAGCAAGATGGAGGAGGAGGAGCGAGAGGCCAAGCAGCGACAGGCAGACGAGTGAGTGGGGATGAGGGGGGAGTGGGGATGTGAGTGGGGTGCGGGGGGGGGCGAGCTGGGCGTTGGGGGGGTGAGTGGGCCGATGAGGGGGGAGGGAGTGAAGGGGGTGTGGGATGGATGGCCTGAATGAGAGCAACTCACGTGCCATGCGCGCCTGTGAGCTTCTTTTGAGATTGCATGTCAACCTTGCTGTCTTGCACACATTCCTATTCTTCCTCCCTTCTCCCTCCCGCGTCTCCCCACCATCCTCCCCATCCTGCGTCATCATCACCGCACCCCACCCCACCCCACCCCACCCCACCCCACCCCACCCCACCCCACCCCACTGTGCGAATCCACCCATGTGCGCCATGCCATGCCACGCCACGCCATGGCACCATCACACGCAGCGAGGAGGAGAAGCAGATGGAGAAGCGGCGGCGGCGCAGAGCAGCAGCGCCCACGGCCAAGCTGTCATTCCTGGATGACCTGCAAGACGAGGAGGAGGAGGATGAGGAGGAGGTTGGGGATGGGGATGGGGAGAGGGAGAAGGGGACGGAAGAGGATAGAGGTACGAGAGGGGTTTGAGTGGCTGTGAGTGAGGTGGGAGGAGCAGTGGAAGAGGGCACGCTGTGTGGGGTGATTGCTCCTCACTTCCCACACGATGCTGTTTTTTTTTTACGATCCCGCCTCACCCCTCTCCCCCTTCTTTTCCCTCCCCCCCATCTTTCTCCTAATCCCTCTCACCCCTCTCCCCTTTCTTTCCCCGCTCCCACCTCTCGCCTCGGCAGAAGCAGGAAACGGGGCGAGCAGGGGCGGCGGGGGGGCAGCAGGGGAGGTGCGGAAGAAGGCGAGGATGAGCAAGTTCGGCAAGAACCCTTTCGTGGAGACCAGCTTCCTTCCCGACAGGTGCGGTGAGGGCAGATGAGAGGGTCGAGTGAGGGCGGAGGGAAGGTGGCCCTTGAGTCGACACAAAGGATGAGCAAGTTCGGCAAGAACCCTTTCGTGGAGACCAGCTTCCTACCCGACAGGTGCGGTGAGGGCAGAGGTGCGGTGCTGTTGCCAATCAGGTGGTCACAGTGTCGGCTAGGACCCCACCGTTGAGACCAGCTTCTTGCCTGGCAGGTGCCGTCGGGGCAGAGGGTGGAGGGGAGGGAGGGGTGAGCGCAGAGATGCGGTGCGGGGTTAGAGCAGATTAGAAGTGAGAAAGGGTGTGGTGCGGGCAGAGAGGGGAGGTGAGTTTTGACAGGTGGTGCGAGCTTACTCAAAACTCCAGCTTCCGTGGAGACCAACTTCCTGCCGACAGGTGCGGTTAGTGCAGAGGTGCGCACAGAGGGGCTTCCTGCCTGACAGGTGCGGGCAGGAGGAGTGAGGGCAGATGGGATGAAAGACGGGAGGGGAAGGCAGAGGTGGAGGCAGAGAGGGGGGGCAGGGGTGAGGGCAGGGGTGGGGGGGGCAGGGGTGAGGGCAGGGGTGGGGGGGGCAGGGGTGCTAGGGCAGGGGGGAGAGCGGGGGAAGGGCAGGGGGGAGGGCAAAAGGTGGGCTCTCAGATGTGCCTAGCACAGAGATGGTTACTAGATGACAGGTGGTGACTGGACGGCTGATTATGGAGCAGCTGCATGTTGGATAGATAGGAAGCAACTTCTGTTTTTCGTTGGTGCAAGTAACTCGTTCCTCTTTGCTGCCCAGCTCTCTGCAATGCCCGGCTCTCTGCAATGCCCAGCTCTCGGCAATGCCCAGCTCTCTGCAATGCCCAGCTCTCTGCAATGCCCAGCTCTCTGCAATGCAATGCCCCAGCTCTCTGCACTGCCAGCTCTCTGCAATGCCCAGCTCTCTGCAATGCCCAGCTCTCTGCAATGCCCAGCTCTCTGCAATGCCAGGCTCTCTGCAATGCCAGCTCTCTGCAATGCCCAGCTCTCTGCATGCCCAGCTCTCTGCAATGCCCAGCTCTCTGCAATGCCCAGCTCTCTGCAATGCCCAAGCTCTCTGCAATGCCAGCTCTCTGCAATGCCCAGCTCTCTGCAATGCCCAGCTCTCTGCAATGCCCAGCTCTCTGCAATGCCCAGCTCTCTGCAATGCCCAGCTCTCTGCAATGCCCAGCTCTCTGCAATGCCCAGCTCTCTGCAATGCCCAGCTCTCTGCAATGCCCAGCTCTCTGCAATGCCCAGCTCTCTGCAATGCCCAGCTCTCTGCAATGCCCAGCTCTCTGCAATGCCCAGCTCTCTGCAATGCCCAGCTCTCTGCAATGCCCAGCTCTCTGCAATGCCCAGCTCTCTGCAATGCCCAGCTCTCTGCAATGCCCAGCTCTCTGCAATGCCCAGCTCTCTGCAATGCCCAGCTCTCTGCAATGCCCAGCTCTCTGCAATGCCCAGCTCTCTGCAATGCCCAGCTCTCTGCAATGCCCAGCTCTCTGCAATGCCCAGCTCTCTGCAATGCCCAGCTCTCTGCAATGCCCAGCTCTCTGCAATGCCCAGCTCTCTGCAATGCCCAGCTCTCTGCAATGCCCAGCTCTCTGCAATGCCCAGCTCTCTGCAATGCCCAGCTCTCTGCAATGCCCAGCTCTCTGCAATGCCCAGCTCTCTGCAATGCCCAGCTCTCTGCAATGCCCAGCTCTCTGCAATGCCCAGCTCTCTGCAATGCCCAGCTCTCTGCAATGCCCAGCTCTCTGCAATGCCCAGCTCTCTGCAATGCCCAGCTCTCTGCAATGCCCAGCTCTCTGCAATGCCCAGCTCTCTGCAATGCCCAGCTCTCTGCAATGCCCAGCTCTCTGCAATGCCCAGCTCTCTGCAATGCCCAGCTCTCTGCAATGCCCAGCTCTCTGCAATGCCCAGCTCTCTGCAATGCCCAGCTCTCTGCAATGCCCAGCTCTCTGCAATGCCCAGCTCTCTGCAATGCCCAGCTCTCTGCAATGCCCAGCTCTCTGCAATGCCCAGCTCTCTGCAATGCCCAGCTCTCTGCAATGCCCAGCTCTCTGCAATGCCCAGCTCTCTGCAATGCCCAGCTCTCTGCAATGCCCAGCTCTCTGCAATGCCCAGCTCTCTGCAATGCCCAGCTCTCTGCAATGCCCAGCTCTCTGCAATGCCCAGCTCTCTGCAATGCCCAGCTCTCTGCAATGCCCAGCTCTCTGCAATGCCCAGCTCTCTGCAATGCCCAGCTCTCTGCAATGCCCAGCTCTCTGCAATGCCCAGCTCTCTGCAATGCCCAGCTCTCTGCAATGCCCAGCTCTCTGCAATGCCCAGCTCTCTGCAATGCCCAGCTCTCTGCAATGCCCAGCTCTCTGCAATGCCCAGCTCTCTGCAATGCCCAGCTCTCTGCAATGCCCAGCTCTCTGCAATGCCCAGCTCTCTGCAATGCCCAGCTCTCTGCAATGCCCAGCTCTCTGCAATGCCCAGCTCTCTGCAATGCCCAGCTCTCTGCAATGCCCAGCTCTCTGCAATGCCCAGCTCTCTGCAATGCCCAGCTCTCTGCAATGCCCAGCTCTCTGCAATGCCCAGCTCTCTGCAATGCCCAGCTCTCTGCAATGCCCAGCTCTCTGCAATGCCCAGCTCTCTGCAATGCCCAGCTCTCTGCAATGCCCAGCTCTCTGCAATGCCCAGCTCTCTGCAATGCCCAGCTCTCTGCAATGCCCAGCTCTCTGCAATGCCCAGCTCTCTGCAATGCCCAGCTCTCTGCAATGCCCAGCTCTCTGCAATGCCCAGCTCTCTGCAATGCCCAGCTCTCTGCAATGCCCAGCTCTCTGCAATGCCCAGCTCTCTGCAATGCCCAGCTCTCTGCAATGCCCAGCTCTCTGCAATGCCCAGCTCTCTGCAATGCCCAGCTCTCTGCAATGCCCAGCTCTCTGCAATGCCCAGCTCTCTGCAATGCCCAGCTCTCTGCAATGCCCAGCTCTCTGCAATGCCCAGCTCTCTGCAATGCCCAGCTCTCTGCAATGCCCAGCTCTCTGCAATGCCCAGCTCTCTGCAATGCCCAGCTCTCTGCAATGCCCAGCTCTCTGCAATGCCCAGCTCTCTGCAATGCCCAGCTCTCTGCAATGCCCAGCTCTCTGCAATGCCCAGCTCTCTGCAATGCCCAGCTCTCTGCAATGCCCAGCTCTCTGCAATGCCCAGCTCTCTGCAATGCCCAGCTCTCTGCAATGCCCAGCTCTCTGCAATGCCCAGCTCTCTGCAATGCCCAGCTCTCTGCAATGCCCAGCTCTCTGCAATGCCCAGCTCTCTGCAATGCCCAGCTCTCTGCAATGCCCAGCTCTCTGCAATGCCCAGCTCTCTGCAATGCCCAGCTCTCTGCAATGCCCAGCTCTCTGCAATGCCCAGCTCTCTGCAATGCCCAGCTCTCTGCAATGCCCAGCTCTCTGCAATGCCCAGCTCTCTGCAATGCCCAGCTCTCTGCAATGCCCAGCTCTCTGCAATGCCCAGCTCTCTGCAATGCCCAGCTCTCTGCAATGCCCAGCTCTCTGCAATGCCCAGCTCTCTGCAATGCCCAGCTCTCTGCAATGCCCAGCTCTCTGCAATGCCCAGCTCTCTGCAATGCCCAGCTCTCTGCAATGCCCAGCTCTCTGCAATGCCCAGCTCTCTGCAATGCCCAGCTCTCTGCAATGCCCAGCTCTCTGCAATGCCCACCTCTCTGCAATGCCCAGCTCTCTGCAATGCCCAGCTCTCTGCAATGCCCAGCTTGCACAACGTGTTGAGAAGGGAGGTGGTGCAGGGTGCACACATGCCCTTCTTCTAGCCTCTACCCCCTGCCCCACATCCCCGTTCCCCCCTCCCTCTCTCCCGTCTCCTCCTCTCCCACCCACCCCTCCATGGCATCACTGTAACCCTCGTGCCGTCTCCCGACCCCCCTTCCTGCCTCGCAGGGACCGAGAGGCGCAGGAGACAGCAGAGAGGGAGCGACTGGCCAAGCAGTGGATGGCGGAGCAGGAACGGATAAAGAGTGAGTCTATATGGGGGATACAATCACGTCTGTATCTGGGATACGGGTGAGCCTAGAGCGGGTTTATATTTGATTTAGGGACGTCTCATAACGGTCATTGATAAGGTCAAGTATGTAAAGGGATGACGAGTGTGCCTATTTGGGGGATAACGGGTGACTGTTTTTCGCTGCTTTGTGCTGGTAGACAGTGCGACTGCATGGGCTTTCATTACACTCCAGAGGTCTGAAGATGTCTCAGCTGCAGCAGGTGATCTTACCACAGGGCGAAGCTACATTTCAGTATCCTCTCTCTGCTTCATCTCATACCCATACCCCCCCTTCCCCTTCCCATCCCCTTACACCCCGTCGGCCAATCAGACGAGCCGTTGGAGATCACGTACAGTTTCTGGGATGGGGCGGGGCACAGGCGAGTCATCAAGGTGAGGCAAGGGCGCTGCATGCGGTTGGTTGTATGTTACCACGTGCGGTTACCACATGTGGTTACTATGCGCGGTTATCAAGCGTGGTGCATGTGTGTTGCCTCTTCTATGTGGAATGCTTCAGATTTTCCACATCTGGTTGTTGTCACATGCTTTCACACATCCTCCCTCCCTCCCCTCCTCCCCCTTTTCTCCCTCCCCTGTCCCTCCCCACGCCTTTCCCCCTCCCACAACTGCTCTCTCCCTCCGTTATCCCCCTGGTCTGCCTTACTTCCCCCTCAACCCCCCAGGTGCGCAAGGGCGACAGCATAGCAGACTTCCTGCGGGCAGTGCAGCAGCAGCTGGCTTAAAAGACGTCTCAATAATTGACTGCTGTTTCCCTGTTGTTCCCATGTCCCCTGTCCCCCCCACGCCCCTCAACCCCCCCAGGTGCGCAAGGGCGACAGCATAGCGGACTTCCTGCGGGCGGTGCAGCAGCAGCTGGCGCCCGACTTCAGGGAGGTGCGGTCGGCGTCGGTGGAGGGGCTCGTGTACATCAAGGAAGACCTCATCATCCCGCATGTGAGTGACGTCATCATCCCGCATGTGTGTGACGTCATCATCCCGCATGTGTGTGACGTCATCATCCCGCATGTGAGTGACGTCATCATCCCGCATGTGTGTGACGTCATCATCCCGCATGTGAGTGACGTCATCATCCCGCATGTGAGTGGCGTCATCATTCCTCTGGCCCTCCCTTGGTAACAATCGCCAGCGCTCACACCCCCGTGCACCTCCTTATCACCCCTTTATAGCCCTCTACCCGCACCCTCCTCTCCCCTCCCCAAATCCCTCCCTCCCCCCCTCCCTCTCCCCCAACACCAATACACCTTCTACGAGCTCATTATGAGCAAGGCTCCCGTGTGCCCCCCTCGGCCCTTTCTATCCTCGACCCCCTTCCTTGACCGCCCCTACTTTGGCCGCCCCTGCTTCCCCTTGACCCCCTGCCAGCAATACACGTTCCACGAGCTCATTGTGAACAACCCCAATGCCCCTGCCCCCTTTCCCCCCACTTGGGCTGCCCTTGTCCCCGCCCCCCCCCACCTTGGTCCCCCCAGCAATACACGTTCTACGAGCTCATTGTGAACAAGGCGCGCGGGAAGAGTGGCCCGGTAAGGCACACACACACATGCTGTGTGGGGGGGGTGGGGATGCATGCGGGGAAGGGGGGGTGTATTGAGGGATGAGGATGGGTATGCTTATGCCCATGGGTATGCTTATGCCCATGGGTCTGCTTATGCCCATGGGTATGCTTATGCCCATGGGTCTGCTTATGCCCATGGGTATGCTTATGCCCATGGGTCCCCTTGCCATCACTCCTGGCCCCTTGCCGTCTTTCCTGGCCCCTTGCCGTCTTGCCCGGCCCCGTGCGGTGGTTGTAGGGTGCGGGCCTGGTGTTGCACACAGGGTGCGGGCCTGGTGTTGCACACAGGGTGCGGGCCTGGTGTTGCACACATCTCTCATTTCCGCATCCATTCCTCTCTCTCTCTCCCTCTCTTGCTGATCCACCTTCCCCTGCCGTGTCCTTGCAACACGGTGGGCCTCCGTGCACAACCCCATGTGGGCCACCATCCACAACCCCATGTGGGCCACCATCCACAACCCCATGTGGGCCACCGTTGCCGACCCACTGCCCCGAGCAGCTGTTCCACTTCGATGTGCACGATGACATTCGCACCACGGGGGATGCCACCATTGAGAAGGACGAGGTGCGTTGAGTGGGAGGAGGGAGAAAGAGGAGGTGCGTGGGGCCGGAGGGTAAGGGGGTGAGGGCAGCTGCTGGTCCACTTGGACGTGCACGATGACATCCGCACCACAAGGGATGCCAGCATCGAGAAGGACGAGGTGCGTGGGGGGAAAGGGGGTGAGGCAGGGATTGGATGAAGTGGGGAGGGGGATAGATGCTGGGGTGAAAGGACGAGGTGCTGGTGGGGGAAGAGGAGGGAGTGTACGGGTGTAATGGATGGAGAGTGTCTTGTGGAACGAGATTGATGTCTGGGAGACGTCCGTGAATGGTCTTGTCTCAGCATGGCGAATCTTGTCTCAGCATGGCGAATCTTGTCTCAGCATGGCGAATCTTATCTCAGCATGGCGAATCTTGTCTCAGCATGGCGAATCTTGTCTCAGCATGGCGAATCTTGTCTCAGCATGGCGAATCTTGTCTCAGCATGGCGAATCATGTGTCAGCATGTCTAGAGAGGCATGGGATCACACATTGCAAGGCTTACTCGCCTCGCATCCCACATGCACCACACTCCTGGTTTTCCAACTCTTCATGATCGCTGCTCATGCCCCAACTTCTCCTCCCCTCTTCGCCCCTGCTCTTCCCATAAGCACAGGTCGCGCATCGCCACTCATCCCTCTATTCCTTCCATCCCGTTCCTCGCTCTCGTCTCCCCCCCTTCCTGCACTCCCTCCAGTCGCACATGGGCAAGGTGGTGGAGAGGCATTGGTACGACAAGAACAAGCACATCTATTGTGTTTAATTTCCCACCTCCTTTCACCCTTTTCACTCTCTCCACCCCTACCCTCCTCTTCCCTGCAGTCCCACGCGGGAAAGGTGGTGGAGAGGCACTGGTACGACAAGAACAAGCACATCTTCCCCGCCTCGCGATGGGAGGTCAGTCGTTCCGCACCTCCCTTTCCCCTCCCCCTCCGCCTCTGCTGCTGCTACTACTCCTGCTCATTCTTTCTGCCTGCTGTACCTGCAGCTGTGCCTGTGTTGGCTGTAGTCTGCCCTCGCCCCTTGTTTACCTCTCCCGAATGCTGCCCTGCCGCACATCCCTCTTGCTCTTCTTACTGTAGGCTTACCTCGTCCCGTTTTCTCCCTCGGAACGTTTTCCATGTCTCGCAGATATACGACCCGGCCAAGAAGTGGGACCGATACACCATCCACGGCAACTGACACTGTACAATACACTGTTGGACTAATCAGTAGAACGATTATAAGCACATCATCAGTACAGTGGTGCACTGTTGAGCCACGTATAAAAACACCTTCCACAATACAAACTCAGATGAACGACGCGCTTATGAATACAGCATCTTCCAATAACAGTACCATGCTTACATGCAACCACCATCTCTAAGCTCTAGCCATTGGACCCCATTCCATTATGCTCAGGGCCTCGCACTGAAACTGCAACACCTGCTACAAGGCCCAAGCAGCTGCTGCAAGTGCAGCACAGCAAGTTCCTGGCGATGCTGTCAGCACATGTGTCGATTTGAGATGGCAGATGTGCTCCCTGCATGAGGTACCTGCCAGTGCAGGCAGTGCAGGCAGAGCAGGCAGTGGAGCGCGGAAGTTGCAGGGAAGCAAGGAAGATGGTGCGAGTGGGGCCACCAGGATGTGGTTACGGCATGAGAGCAGAGCGGCGGCTGTACGTAGTGTGATGGTTGCCACTCCAATGCAGCGGAGGAGGGCGGTGATGAAGCATCCTTAAGGATCCGCACGGGCGCTGGCGCTGCTGCATGGGAGTCCTGAGGCCCCTGTCCGGGACGACTGACACGGCAGCACTAGGAGTTGAGGAAAAAAGCGGTGATAAATCTCGCCTTCCTGTCCCGCACTGCTCTTGCCGCTGCTGCCTCTGCCCTCTCCCGCTTCCTTGACCCCTCCGGGCCCACTCTCCCCTGCCCCCGCGCTGCGTCAGCACGAGCTGGACCGCTGCTGACGTGTCGAAGGCAGGATATGGACGAGCCAATGAAATCGCTGCGCAATGACCACAGCACAAGAGGAAGGGCAGACTCATGAATGTACCCACCAAGGGAAGACAGGAGAAAATGTACGCGCATGGACAGAAATGCAAGGACTCACACAAGCGTCTGTATCAAAGAAAATCACCATGGATTGGCCAATACCTCCTCTCACCCTCCCGTCACCCTCCCCTCGCCCTCACCTGATCTTATCCGATGAGCGCACAGCAGCTGCCACGTCAGCCTGGGTGATTGTCAACCGGCGGGCGGAGCGAGTGCGGGAGAAGGCAGCAGCAGCAAGGCTCTCGAGAAAGAGGTGGGCGGCAGAGGCCACCAGCTGGGCAGCATCGGACGAAACATACCGCACCTCGCCATCCAGGCGCATCATGCGCTTCACATACGCCACCGGCACCTCTACTGCTGCTACAGCTGCCTCCCCTGTTGAAGGTGCATCCGCAGCTGCTACAGCCGCGTCACTGGCTGAAGGCGCCCTTCCCTCCGCTATGTGAGCGTCCCCTGGCGAGGGCATCTCTCCCGCAGCAGCACCCTCTCGTGCTCCTTGTGTCTCCCCTCCTGCAGGCGCGGCCGCGGTCTCACGTGCCTGCGCTGCTGCCAATACCTCTCCTCTCTCCGTTCCGCCCTTCGCTCCTTCTGCCTCTGATTGCTCACCGCTTGCCTCCGCTTCCTTCTCCTCCTCCAAGCGCCCACCTGTTTGCACTCCTCTCCTCCCCTCTCCTGCTACCTCCGCCTCTTCACCTCCCGCCTCTCGCCTCCCCCCATCCGCCACCACTCCGCCCGGCCTCTCATCACCATCGCCACCTGTCCCCCCCTCCCTTTGGCACCGAGCTTCTCCATCACCCTCACGCGCGCCTACCCCCTCCCCCTCCTCCTGCCCGCCCGCATCCTCCCCTTGCTCCTCTTCCTCCTCCGAGTGAACGCTCGCCTCATCGTCGTCAGCAACCACAACGCGCTGTGCCTCATTCAGTTCCTCTTCTTCTTCCTCCTCCTCTTCCTCCTCTTCCTCCTCTTCTTCTTCCTCCGCCAGTTCTTCTTCCTTCTCCTCCTCCGCCGCACCTCCACGTCCCCCGATCGGCTCCCCCCCACCCTCTACGGCGGCACGTCCCCCCTCTATGTCGCCATCCATGTCGCCTGCATCTTCGTCAGCGTCGTTTGCATCGCCAACGTCGTCCGCTGACACATCCGAATCGCCGTCATCGCCATCGTCGTCGCTAGCGTCGTCGAGATGGTCATTATCGTCCAGATAGGCGTCCGCCATGCTCTCGTCTATCACTGCCACGTGTTCGATTATCCCGTCCACGTCAGCACCTTCAGCGCGTTCGTCCATGCGAGCACGCGCATCCACATCCGCACGTTCCTCTGGTTCCTGGCACTGCACGTCGTTTAGTGGTGTCGGGTCACCCGCCTCCATTTTTTAGAACACGAGTAAAATGAAACGGGGCAGAACCAAGACGATCCTGTGCTAAGCTCGTGCACTGGACGAAGCAATTTTGTGAGCTAACGAGTGACGCCACGAGGACCACTCGCGGTCCGCGATGGATTCACGTACGAAGTTGTCTTTTGAAATTCAAATCGCACAATAGCAGCAGGTGGGTGGGTGGGAGTGGATCAACAGATGGATATAGGAAGGAATCAATGGCTAAAGCTAGGGAGGAACTGTTTACACGTGCGAAGGTACACTACATTGGGCTGCATTGTGTTTTGTGTCAGAACACGCTATACTAGGTCGATCCCACAAGTTCGTTACATTCTTGGATGCAGCTTGTGGTTTGAACTGTCTTCCGTAGAGTGAATTCATGAGGTCCGTACGATCCGAGGTTCAGTTTGACATGTTACCATTCTGAAACACGCTGCGCCGTTTATCACCGACTTAAAAGCCTCTTAAAGTTGTCCTTAAAGCTCAAGGCCCAAATTGCGGGCCGCGCGAGGCAAGTTTAGTAAGGTTGATCGAGTGCTGCTTTGCAGCTTTAGCTGGGCGAATTGTGGTTACGAAATGTACGAAGCCATCTGATTGGCCAGAACATTTGAGTCAGCGAATGGAACAGGTGGTGCGGGAAACTGGCAAGAGTAATATTTGTGCAATATGGGACTCGCGCAACCAAACCTGAGCGTCCCCTAGGCTTTGCTGAGTCAGCGAATTTTGTTTTGAGTGTGGCGAGAAGCTGGGCGAAACCAAACCCCTACACCCCTCAAACACCTCGACTTTCCTACTCTGCTTTCCCACCACCCAAGGGTCAACTTTAGTAATCCTGAACAATTTGGGCCTTGAGCTTTAACATCCGTGGAATTCCTCATTTCACCAGCACCACCATCGGGATCATCTCCACCAATCGACATGCGATCCAGCCCAGCCAGCTGCACAACTCCTGCCACCATGCGATCACCCGATCCCACGCATCCTACCCGCCTCGTCTTGTTCCTCCTCCCATCCAACTTCCAGACGTTTCTCAGCCATGGTACATCCGACAGTGCAAGATAGCTACCTCGCCACCAAGGCAATATCAAGGAGCAGGTCACCATAATGTTCACCATAAAATCCGCCAGCTGACGACGCGTGTGGTTGAGACGCTTCGGATTTGACTTTACGCGGTCCGTGCACGAGCTGTCGCAGGTTCTGTCGCAGGTTCTTTAGTATTTCAGTATGGTTCGGATTGCGAAGGCAATTGGGGTTGTGATCAGACTGCCGCGATGCAAGTTGAAAGCCTGTTGATGCAGCAGGAAGGAACTCCGGCTGCGGGCAGTACAGTCGCCCCAGCGACGATTCTTAAGAACGACGTTCAGTGAAGCTGCTGGTTGTAGAGCCGTTAAACAACTCGACACAGGACGGCTCGATACAAGACGTCGCAGATGGCGGAAGATGACGCGAGCAAGGAGACAGAGGTGGAGAGGCACTTAGCTGAGATGGCAGAGGCAGCAGAGCTGCACGGAAGGCTGGACGTGGCGGACGGCCCACAGGCGGACGGGAGATGCGCGCGCGGTTCTGACTTGCGCAGCTCGCAGCCGCACGATACAGAAGCGGCGGACACTGTAGACGCGCGCACTGCTGACGCGCGCTGCTTAGAAGCACACGACGCAGAAGCGAGCGATGCGGAAATGAACGCGAGGGATGGAGTGGACGTAGTAGCTGGGGACGAGCAGCGAGACGAGCAGCGAGCGTGCGACGAGAACGACACGGACGGAACGATCAGCCGTCGCACGCGCGCGCGAGTGTCGCTGGCGCAGACCCCAATAGAAGAGCTCGAGGTGATGCTCGCGCGCGTGGCGCGAGACGCGGAGGAGGATGAGGAAGCGGAGGATTTTTTGTTTCATGCGGAGGAGGAAGAGGAGGAGTACGAGCGGTTCCTGTCCGCCGTGCTTTTCCCCGACTCGCCTTGCGGTAGCGACCACGAGGGGGACGAGGGGGAGGGGGACGGGGAGGGGGAGGGGGAGGGAGAAGGAGAGGAGGGGGAAGAGAGGGGGTGTGAGGGAAGAAGGGAGGGTGGAGAGGAGGAGGTAGAAGAGGAGGGGGAAGGGGATGAGGAGAGGACTGGAGGAGCAGCAGGGGCAAGCATGGGAGGGGAGGATGACGCAGGGGATGCTGCTGATGGAGGAGAGGAGAACGGGGTGCAGGATGAGGGGAGGGGGGAAGGGGAGGGAGCGGGGGAGGAAGAGGGGGATGACGAAGGGGAGGAGAAAGGGGAGGGGGAGGATGAAGAGGACGAGGAGGATATGGACTTCAATATCGACGATCTGCTGCTGCTGGAGGGCAATGATCTGCTAATGGACGGTGAGGATGAGCTGCTGGATCTGCAGGACTTCGTTGTGGACGAGGATGATCTGGATGGAGGGCTTCTAGCGGGGCTGGAAGATGAGCTTATAGCGGAGATGCAGGCTCAGGCGGAGGCAGAGGCAGCTGCTGAGGCAGCCGCGAGGGCAGAGGAGGAGGAGGGCGAGGAGGAGGGGGGGAGCGAGGGAGAGGGGAAGGGGAGGATTAAGAGGCGCAAATGCAACCGTGGGGAGGGGAAGGGGGGCTATTGGGGGGCGCGGGGTGGAGAGATGGGGGGCTTGCAGGAGGGGGAGGGGAGGGAGGTAAGGGAGGGAGGGGAGGGAGAGGAGGCGGCGCATGAAGCAGCGGCAGACGGGCACGAGGGCGCTGCCTCTCGCCTCCACCAGCCGCCCTCCGCTGCTCCTGCTGTTCCTGAGGGTAACGGGCACGAGCCAGCCAATGAGCAGCTGCCACTTGTCCAGGGTGTGGCCGAGCGGGGAAAGGGAGGGGAGGTGGAAATGCGCAGCGAGGGGGTGGGAGTGGGAGTGGGAGTGGGGGTGGGGGTGCGGAGGTCAAAACGGACCACTGCAGGGATGTCGAGGAGGAGAGGCAAGGGGAGGGAGGCGGCGAGGAAGGATGGGAAAGGAGAGGGGGAGGGGGAGGTGGAGGCGGGAGGATCCAAGAGGAGAAGGAAGGCTAAGAAGGGACGAGGCGAGGCAGTGAAAGAAGGGGGTGGGTCGATGGGGAATGGACGAGGGGCGAGGGAAGAGACGGCAGCGTGCAGAGGTGGCCGCGACAGTTCAGAAGCAGGAGGCGGCAGTGAGGGTGCGTCTCCTGCCGTGGCTGATCCACATGCCTTGGTTTCTTCTGCTCATGGCTCGGATGGTGCTGATGGTGGTGCGCATGGTGCATCGACCTTATCACCCCCATCAGGCAGCCCCCCATCAGGCAGCCCTGGGGGGGGGATTGGGGGGGCGGGCAGCGCAGGGCAGGGCAGGCGGAGGGGATCCGCGGCACCAGCAGCAGCAGGGTCCAGGGCGGCGGGCAGGAAGGGCCGCGCAGGCAGAACTGCTGCTGGCCCTGCTGCTGGCGCTGCTGGTGGTGGTGGTGTGGGGTCAGAGGGCGCTGCTACTACTGCTGCACACACTAGGAAAGCGGCTGCTGCTGTTGCTCCTGCTGCTCCTGCAGCTGTGACTGCAGCTGCTGCTGCTCCTGCTGCCGCGCCAGTGCCCCCCCCTCGCCTACTCCCCATCGCCCCGCTCCCCACCGCGCGCTCGTTTGTACCACTCCCCCTGCCGGCACACGGCACATACCCCTTCCATATTCGCCCCGTTGCATGCCTCGCTCCTGTCCCCATCCCCCCCGCGTTCGCGCCACATCAGCGCGCCCAGCTGGCGGCGCTGCTGGCGTGTCACGTTCAGCTGGCAGTGCAGGTGTACACGGCATGTGTGCTGGACCCCTCTCGCTGCCAGGTGGCAACGGTGCTCAGGGGCTTGCTGGCACAGCTGGCGCAGTGGGGGGGAGGTGCTACTGGGGAAGGTGGTATTGCTGGGGTAGGTGGCATTCGGTCAGGAGATGCGAGAGTGTCGAACAGTGTATTAGCTGCTGATGCTCCATGGGCTGAGGCATCACCCTCGCCTCCCTTGCAGCCTTGGTGCTCTCCACCCATCCCTTCCGCTCCGCGCTCTCCTCTCTCATCTCCTGTGACCTGCCTGGGAGCTCATGGCTCTGCTGCTGCCATAGCTCCTACTGCTACCGCCACTGCTGCTGCTGCTGCCACTGCCACTGCTGCAAGCAGCCACGGAGCAGCAAGGCCGGCAGCGCGGCTAACAGATTCGATCCCCAGCCTGGCTCTTCTTCCTTCGTTCCTGCTCGCCATCGACAAAGGTATCGAAAGAAGGGCACAGGGCTGTGGCTGGGAGCGTTAGTAGTGTGTGAAAGGCAGCTTGTGCTGTGCTTGCTTTGCACTGTTGGTGCTCTCTGTTCCTGACCCTTGTGTCTGCCTCGTGTGTCTCTCCATTGCAGTTCTCCGGGAGCAATCATTGGACCCGCCGACGACATGTGCTGCTGCTGTGGCTGCTGATACGCATCCCCCTGCAGCACCAGCGGCAGCAGCAGCACCAGCGGAAGCACCAGCACCAGCACCAGCAGCAGCACCAGCGGCAGCAGCAGCACCAGCGGCAGCAGCAGCACCAGCAGCAGCAGCAGCACCAGCGGCAGCAGCAGCACCAGCGGCAGCACCAGCACCAGCAGCAGCAGCAGCACCAGCGGCAGCACCGCCAACACCAACAGCACCAGTAGCACAGTCAACCTTATTATCAGCAAACAGAGTAACAACTGTCGAGGCACCAGAAGCGACAGCAGCAGCAGAAGCAGCAGCAGCAGCAAGAACACAGGTGGACGAGTCACAAAGGGTGATGGCAGCCAGTGATGCTGCTATCCGATCTGCACCAGCAGCACTCAGTGCCAGTCCACACGTACTTGCATCTGACAGACGAGGGAGTGAGGGGCGCAGGGCGTGTCGTGGGGGGCAAGTTGAAAGAAGCGGTGGTGAAGGAGGAGGGGATGGGGGAGAGGAGACACTCAGGGAAGGAGGAGGGGACGGGGGAGAGGAGACACTCGGGGAAGGAGTTGGAGAGGAGCTGTTAAGGAGAGGGGGGAGTGGGGGTGACGTGGGAAATGGTAGGAATGGTGGAGCAGAGCCAATGGCAAAAAGGAGTGAAGGAAGGGGAAAAGGTGAGAGTGGTGGGAAAGAGTTGAAAAAGGTGGGGGAGGGGAGGGAGGTGGGGAAGGAGAGAGAGGTGGGGGAGCGGATGGAGGCACAGGGCACGTCAAGAGAGAGGGTGGAGGGGGGAGATGGGGAGAGGACAGAAAGGGTGGAATTAGAGGATGGCGAGAGGGAGGTGCGGCGTCAGCGAGATGCAGTGGGTGGTGATAGTGATGGTGCTGTGCAGCGGCAGCGTGATGAAGAGGGTAGTCGAGAGCTTCCTCCGAGAGACGTGGCGGATATGCAGCAGGACGAGCAGACACCGCAGCAGCAGCAGGAGCAGCAGCAGGAAGGGCAGGACGAGAAACAGCAGAACGAGCAGACACGGCAGCAGCAGCAGATACAGCAGCAGGAACAAGATCAATGTTTGAAAGAGTGTCGTGTTGATGAGCTGCCGCAGCAGAAGCAGCGGGTGGGAGGGAGTAAGAGGAAGAGGAAGAGGAAACGCAGGTGGGTGCCCATGTTCCCCGTGGCAGTGCCTCCCGCCCTCCCACCCCTCGCCCCCTCCCGCCTTGCCTCTCCCCACAAGGCCTCTCGCTTGCAACCCACCCAGAGCGTTGCTTCTGGGCGCCTAGTGGAGAAGGAGGGCGAGCAGGGGGGAGGAGGGCAGGAAGAGAAAGAAGGGGAAGAAGGGGAAGATGAAATGGTTGAAGACAAACGGGAGGAGGTGGAGGAAACGGCGGTGTGGAGGGAGGCGGAGGAGGAGGGGCGGAGGGCGGGGGTGGGCGAGGTGGTGCGGGTGCCAGGCGAGGTGGCAGCAGCACTGCAGCCGCTGGCTGGCGTGTTTGATGCGTCGCTCTTCCCCGTGGTGTGCCCGCCCCTGCTGCACCGCACCATCTTCTCCCCCGCTGAGGACTGGTGCGTGGCAGGGTGGGTGGGTGGGTGGGTGGATGGAAGGGTGCGGGCATGGACGCATGAATGTATGCATATGATGGCTGGATGTAGGTCTTTGGATGTCTGTTCAATATGGGTGCTTCCTTGGGTTCACATGGCGTACCGCCATGTGCCTACAACAACAGGTGCTTGCATGCATACATGATACATCTGGCAAGCCATGGGGCTAGCGTCTCAGCAGCATCCAATCCTCCCCTCTGCCCCTCACTCTCTCCCCGCCCGTCCGGCGCCCTCCGTACCAGCCTGTTGGCCATGGGCGTGGAGCAGCTGAGCACGGACTGGGAGGCCATCCACCGCCGCTTCCTGCCGGGCAAGACTCCCCACCAGGTGGGCTGTGGATCATGGGCCATGGCGGCTGGGGGTGGGCTGTGGGCCATTGGTTGTGAGCGGTGGGTGGTGGGTGGTAGGGGGTGGGGGGTGGTGGTGGGGGGTGGGGGGTGGGGGGTGGGGGGTGGGTGGTGGGGGGTGGGGGGTGGGTGGTGGGGGGTGGGTGGTGGGTGGTGGGGGGTGGGGGGTGGGTGGTGGGCGGTGGGCGGTGGGCGGTGGGGGGTGGGGGGTGGGGGGTGGGGGGTGGGGGGTGGGGGGTGGGGGGTGGGTGGTGGGTGGTGGGTGGTGGGTGGTGGGTGGTGGGGGGTGGGTGGTGGGGGGTGGGTGGTGAGCGGTGGGCGGTGGGCGGTGGGGGGTGGGGGGTGGGGGGTGGGGGGTGGGCGGTGGGCGGTGGGCGGTGGGCGGTGGGCGGTGGGCGGTGGGCGGTGGGCGGTGGGCGGTGGGACTCAAGAGTTCACCGGACACAGACGCCACATTTTGAAGAGCTGGTTCGGTGAGCCAGGGAGCCGTCAGAGGGGCGAGGTGAGGGCATGCACAACGTACATGCCTGTCTGTCCATTCCCCTGCTCGTACCTCTGCTTCTGCATCCATTCCTTCACTCTCTCGCTCTCCCGTCCATACGCCCTTGTTGCCTGTGCTGCGCCTGCGGTGGCCTGTGTTGCCCCCTCTCCCCATCCAATCCTGGCGGTCAGATCTCCATCCGGTGGAAGAACCGGTGCTTACGTCCCCCCTCACATGCACAGACACGCACACGCGCACGCACAGACCTTGTATCTCCCTTCCCCCCCTCTCCTGGCCGTCAGATCTCCATCCGGTGGAAGAACCGGTGCTCCTCACGCGTGCCCGACAACCCCATCAAGGTGTGCACGCACATGCACATGCACATGCACATGCACACGCACACGCACACGCACATGCACACGCACACGCACACGCACATGCACATGCACATGCACACGCACACGCACACGCACACGCACACGCACACGCACACGCACATGCACACGCACACGCACACGCACACGCACATGTGTGAAAGTAGCAAATTGAACAAGTGATCAGATTAGAGGAACAACCTAGCATACATAGTTGGAAGGGAAGGTTGGAAGGGAAGGATGAAAGTGACCATAGGTTGGGTTGACCTCACTTGGGGAAGTGAGGGAACCATAGGTCAAGTGGGTTGGGTTGCCCACACTTTGTAGAAGTGAGGCAACCCTAGGCCCACTTGGCTTGGGGTAACCTCAATTGTGGGAAGTGAGGTACCCACAAGTCAAGAGGGTTGCATTTGGGGGCTCCACCACAATTGGGTGGATTGGCACCCCAAAGTGCAAGACTACACCCAAAGTTGGGTGTAGTCCCAACCCAACTGTACACCACAATTGGTGTACAGTCACATGTGTTGGCATGCTACACAATATATATTTTAACACAACCCCTTAGCATGCTAACACAAGAAGAGAACAACCCCTGAATCAAGGGGCGCCCGGGCGAGCAAGGCCAATGAGGCGGAGGAAGGCAGAGTGCGCGGGGCGAAGGAGGGCCTTAGTGAAGATGTCGGCCAAGTTGGCCTCGGTTGCAATCTTGCGAACGGCAATGAGGCCCTTCTGGACGAGCTCGCGAACGAAGAAGTAGCGGAGTTCGATGTGCTTGGAGCGGGCGTGATAGACGGGGTCCTGAGTGAGATGGATGGTGCTGGCGTTGTCGCACCAGAGAGTGGGGCACGTCTGGGGGGCGCCAAGCTCCGCAAGAAGGAAGCAGAGCCAGCGCGACTCCTGGGCGGCCATGGTGCCAGCGTAGAGCTCGGCTTCGCAGGTGGAGAGAGAGATGGCGGAGGAGCGGGTGGAGCGCCAGCTGATGAGGCCGCTGCCAAGGGTGAAGCCGTAGCCCTGGGAGGAGCGGCGGTCCGGCTGCGTGTCAGCCCATGAGGAGTCACTGAAGCCCGAGAGAAGGGGACGGGAAGGGCCGCCGAGGGTGAGGGCAAGGTCCCTGGTCCCGCGAAGGTAGCGGAGGACCCGCTTGGCAGCTTTCCAGTGCTCCTCAGAGTGACGACCGGTGCCGACAAAGCGAGCGAGCACGCTGATGGGGTAGGCGAGGTCGGGGCGGGTGCACATCATTGCGTACATCAAGGACCCAACGAGCTCGGCATAGGGGTGGGGGGAGGAGGTGGGGGAGGTGGGTGGAGCGAGTTGGTGACCGAAGGGGAGCGGGGTGGAAACAGGCTTGGCTTGCGCCATGTCGAACTTCTCCAAGACCTGGCCGATGTAATGGGACTGGGAGAGGGTGATTGTGCGAGCAGGGCGGTTGCGCGTGATGGTCATGCCGAGGTAGTGAGTGAGGGCGCCAAGGTCCTTGCACTTGAGCCGCTGCTGCAGGGACAGCTTCACCTGCTCCATGTCGGCCTTGGTGTCAGAGAGCAGGATCATGTCGTCGACATATACCAGAATGAAGAAGCGGCGGGGGGAGGAGCGGATGAAGAGGCTGGCGTCGGAGTGGGAAGCAGAGAAGCCGAGGGACCCCAAGGTGGCAGCCAGCTTCGCATGCCACTCACGTGGTGCCTGCTTCAAGCCGTAGACGGGGCGACGCAGCTGCCAGACAGTGTTCTCAGGAAAGGCTGCGTGGAACCCGGGGGGTCGCCGGAGGAAAATGCGCTCATGCAGGTCGCCCTGCAGGAACGCATTGGAGACGTCCATGGAGTCGATTTCCATGTCGTCACGTGCACCAATGTCCATGGCGGCGCGAAGGGTGGGTGGTTTGGCGGTGGGGGCGTAGGTGAACCAGTAGTCCTCAGCCCAAGTCTGCGTGAACCCCTTGGCGCAGTAGCGGGCCTTGTACACTGGTTCCTCGCCCGGCAGCTGCTTCACCCGAAAGACCCATTTGCCGTCAACGAGATTAGCGCCAGCAGGGAGGGGGACATCGACAAAGGAGTCGTTGCGAATGAAAGCCTCACACTCCAGGAAGATCGCTGCTATCCATTTATCCGCATCAGGGCAGGTGATGGCTTCCTGGAAGGTGGAGGGAGTGAAGATGGTGGGGGTAGTAGTGGCGCCAAGGACAGGAAAGCCCAGGAAGTCAAGGTAGAGGGCGGCAAGGAATGGAGTGTGCTCCCGAATGTTGAGGAACTCCTCATGGGAGTCCTCAAGGAGCTGAATGGAGGCAGGAGGAGGAGCCCCAAGGATTTTGTCCATCGAGCGGGTATGGATGTAAGGGAGGAGGAAGGGGGAGGAGCGGGAAGTGGCACGGCGCCGCTGCTGCTGCTGGTGCTGCTGCTGCTGATGCTGCTGCTGCTGCTGCTGTCCCGGCTGCTGCTGATGCGGCTGCCCCGGCTGCTGCTGCTGCTGCTACTGCTCCGGCTGCTGCTGCTGCTGCTGCTGCTGCTGCTGCCCCGGCTTCTGCTGCTGCTGCCCCTGCTGCCGTTGCTGGTGTTGCTCCCGCTGCTGCTGCTGCTGCTGCTGCTGCTGGTGCTGCTGCTGCCCCTGCTGTTGCTGATCCGGCTGCTGCTGCTGCTGCTGCCCCTGCTGTTGCTGATCCGGCTGCTGGAAAGGAGGAGAATGAGAGGAGGGAGAGGGGGGAGGGGGTGCAGCTGAGTGAGCGGGGGAGGCGGGTGCGGCAGGGTCGTAGACGTCGGCAGAGGAGGAAGGCGGGAGTGGGGCGGCGACAGGTGGGAGGAGAGGCGCTGGAGGGATAAGAGGCGGGAGGATGGTGTCGGTCCAAGCGAGGGGGCGAGTGGGAGGAGGGAGGGGGTCAGGAGGAGGGGTGGAGTAGTAGGGAGTGGACTCGTCGAAGACGACGTCAATGCTGCGGATGAGGCGATTGGTGGGAGGGTGGAGGAATAGGTAGCCTGGGGAATCACGATTGTGCCCAAGGTAGACGCACTCCAGAGCGCGAGGAGCGAGCTTGCCAGCAGCGCGGGAGCGGTCGGCCGGTGGAATGAGGACGAACGCCTTGCAGGCCCAAACACGAAGGCCTGCGGCGTCAGGCTTGGCCTTGGACCAGAGTTCTGTGGGGGAGGAGGAGGGATGCTGAGGGTGGGAGCGGAGATTGAGGAGGAGGGCGGCATGAATGAGGACATAGCTCCAGAGGGAGGGAGGGGTGGAGGCGTGAGCAATGAGGCAACGCGCAATCTTGGTGATCTCACGGATGCGACTCTCAGCGATGCCGTTTTGCTGAGGGGAGTGGGGAAGGGTGGTGGTCTGCTGAATGCCGTATGTTTTGCAGTAAGTGGAGAGAGTATGATTGATGAACTCACCCCCACCGTCAGAGTGAAGGCGGCCTATGGGACGTTTGAAGTGGTTGCGGCACTGCTCAGCCCAGTTGATGACCACAGCCGGCACCTGGTCTTTCGTGTGAAGAAAGAAGACGGTGGAGTACCGACTGTGGTCGTCGACGAGCACGAGCATGTACCTGTGCCCCTGACGGGAGCGGATGGGATAAGGGCCCCAGAGATCCATGTGAACAAGGTCAATGGGGGCGGGAGCGAAGGTGGTATGACTGTGATGGGGGGACTGTTTGAGCTTGCCATGAATGCATGATGGGCATGGGGGAGCAGGGGAGGAGGGGAGGGGAGGTAAGGTGGGAGGAAGGCTGTTAAGGAGGCGAGAGGTGACGGTGGAGCGAAGTGCGGCGAAGTTGGGATGGCCGAGTCTGTGATGTAGGAGCACTGCAGGATGGGAGAGGGCAGTAGAGGAGGAGGGGGGATGGGGTGGGGGAAAAGTTGGGGGGGGAGGAGGAGGCGGATGGAGTAGAGGAGGAGGATATCGGAGGAGGGGGAGGGGGAGGGTGAGGGGGAGGGAGAAGGGGACCGGTGGAAGTACCAGCACGAGTGGTGACGTGACAAAAGGAGGGACGGGGTGTGCGGAGCGTGTAAAGGCGAGTGCGAGGGCAAAGGGGAATGCGCAGGAGGAAACGACCAGAGGCGGTGTGGTAGAGATCGCAGTAGGAAGCAAAGCCAGGGTATATGGCGGTAATGCCAACGCCTTGGAGTTCACGGTGGGAGAGGAGGTTATTGCGAAGGGTAGGGATGTGGAGACCGGTGACTGTACCGGATGGGAAGGCGGTGCAAGGAAGGGTGGAGAGGTGAGTGCAGGGGATGGAAAAGCTGGAGTCGGCACCATGAACCTGGGTGGGAAGTGGAAGGGGGGTGAGGGTGCCAGCGTCTTTTAGTGCGGTTTCGGTGGCCCCACTGTCAAGGACAAAGTCCAGGGTGGGGGGGGAAGGAGAGGGAGGGAACACAGAGTACTGGAGAGTTGTTTCATGGATAGAAGAGGGAGAGAGCGGCGGGTGCTGCTGCTGTAAGTACTGTTGCTGCTGCGGCTGCTGCGGTGGGAGAGACTGTGACGGTTGCGGCTGGAGAGATTGGGCTGCTGCTGCTGCTGGAAGCACCGCCGATGCTGCCGCGGTTGCTGCGGCTGGAGAGATTGTGGTGGCTGCTGCTGCTGGAAGCACTGCTGCTGCTGCGGATGGAGAGAACTGTGGCTGGTGCTGCTGCTGGAAGCACTGCTGCTGCTGCGGCTGAAGAAACTGTGGCTGCCGCTGCTGCTGGAAGGACTGCTGCTGCTGCGGCGGAAGGAACTGTGGCAGCTGCTGCTGCTGGAAGCACTGCTGCTGCTGCGGCTGAAGAGACTGTGGCTGCTGCTGCTGCAGGAAGGACTGCTGCTGCTGCGGTGGAAGGAACTGTGGCAGCTGCTGCTGCTGGAAGGACTGCCGCTGCTGCGGCTGGAAGGACTGCTGCTGCTGGGGATGGAGAAACTGTGGCGGGTGAGGCTGGAGAGATTGCGGCTGCTGTTGGTGTTGGAAGAACTGCTGCTGCTGCGATTGCCGCGGCTGGAGGAGATGTGGGGGGTGCGGCTGGAGAAATTGTGGTTGCTGCCGCTGCTGGAAGTCCTGCTGCTGCTGATGCTGGAGCTGCTGGAAACGCCGCAGATGGGGAGGGGGGGAGGGGGTGAGCAGGCGGAGATAAGGGGGGGGGGAGGAGTGGAGGGTCGGAGTGTTGAGAAGGGAGGGGCGAGGAGTAACACTGCTCCAGTGAGGAGGGGGGAGAGGGGCAGGGGGGGTAGCAGTCATGATGGGCGACGGCGGGTGGACCCGCGGCGGCCAAGGGTGAAGTTGCTGCTGCGGAGGCTGCTGCACTTCCCCTGCTGCCGCTGCTGCTGCCGCTGGCAGGAGGAGGGAGGGGGGGGGGGGGGGGGGTAAAGGAGGGAGACAGCGGTGGAGGGCAGAGGCGTTCAAGGTGCAGGGAGCGACGGTGACAAGGGCGCAGGCGGCTGTGCGAACGTGCGGCGGCGGGAAGGGGAGGCGGTGGCAAAGTCGGGGGAGGCGGCGGCGAGCAGGCCGCGACGACGAGGGGCGCAGGCGATGGCGGAAGGGCCGCGGCGGCGAAACGAGGGACGGCGGCGGCAGGCAGGCCGCGGCAACGAGGGGCGCAGGGGGAGGGGGAGGGGGGGGGAGAGGAGTAGGGAGAGGAGGAAGGGAGGGTGCAGTTGCGGCTGAATCTGCAGGCGGCGACGGGGCAGTCACGGCGGCAGGAAGTGTGGGCGGGGATGGCGCGGTCGCGGTGGAGGATGGGCAGGCGGCGCCGAAGCAGTCGCGGCGGTAGGGCGGCGGCGGCGCAGTGGCGTTAACGGGAACCGCGGGGCGACGATGTTGCAGTTGCGGCGGGGGAAATTGCGGGAGGGTGGCGATGCAGAAGGGGCAGCGAGATGCGTGGGTGACGCGGAAGCAGGTGCGGCGGTGGGAGGGGAGGCGGCAATGCGAAATCGCGGCGGGGGGGGGGGGGGGGGGGGGGGGGGGGGGCGGGGAGGTGACGACGAGCAGTCGCGGCGGCGGAATGCGCAGGCGGCGATGTTAGGTCGCGGCGGCGGGACGGGCAGGGGGCGACGAGCTGTCGCGGCGGCGGGAAGGGCAGACGGCGCCGAAGCAGGCGCGGCGGCGGGGAAGGGGAGGCGGCGACGTGACGTCGCGGCGGAGGGACGGGCAGGCGGCGACGAGGCGTCGCGGCGGCGGGATGCGCAGGCGGCGCCGAAGCAGGCGCGGCGGCGGGAACGCGGCGACGAGACGTCGCGGCGGAGGGACGGGCAGGCGGCGACGAGGCGTCGCGGCGGCAGGATGCGCAGGCGGCGCCGTAGCAGGCGCGGCGGCGGGAACGCGGCGACGAGACGTCGCGGCGGAGGGACGGGCAGGCGGCGACGAGGCGTCGCGGCGGCGGGATGCGCAGGCGGCGCCGAAGCAGGCGCGGCGGCGGGAACGCGGCGACGAGACGTCGCGGCGGAGGGACGGGCAGGCGGCGACGAGGCGTCGCGGCGGCAGGATGCGCAGGCGGCGCCATAGCAGGCGCGGCGGCGGGAACGCGGCGACGTGACGTCGCGGCGGAGGGACGGGCAGCGGGCAGGCGGCGACGAGGCGTCGCGGCGGCAGGATGCGCAGGCGGCGCCGAATCAGGCGCGGCGGCGAGAAGGGGAGGCGGCGACAGGGGGTCGCGGCGGGGGGGAGGAGGGGACAGCGGCGTTGCGCTCGCGGCGGTGGAATCCGCAGGCGAGGAAGGCGTAATCGCGGCGGGAGGGGGGGGGAACGGCGGCGACGGCGTAGGTCGCGGCGAGAGTATGCTAGTGATGGCTAGTTGAGCCACGCGTAGGAAAGGGTTTGTAGCTGTGGGGTGGGCCCATGGGAAAAAAAAAAAAAAACTGAAGGGAGAGAGAGGTAAGGCCTAGGAACAAGTAGCTCTATACCATTTGAAAGTAGCAAATTGAACAAGTGATCAGATTAGAGGAACAACCTAGCATACATAGTTGGAAGGGAAGGTTGGAAGGGAAGGATGAAAGTGACCATAGGTTGGGTTGACCTCACTTGGGGAAGTGAGGGAACCATAGGTCAAGTGGGTTGGGTTGCCCACACTTTGTAGAAGTGAGGCAACCCTAGGCCCACTTGGCTTGGGGTAACCTCAATTGTGGGAAGTGAGGTACCCACAAGTCAAGAGGTTTGCATTTGGGGGCTCCACCACAATTGGGTGGATTGGCACCCCAAAGTGCAAGACTACACCCAAAGTTGGGTGTAGTCCCAACCCAACTGTACACCACAATTGGTGTACAGTCACATGTGTTGGCATGCTACACAATATATATTTTAACAACATGCACATGCACACGCACACGCACACGCACACGCACACGCACATCCACATGCACACACGGCTGTGCCTCGACTTGCATCCACGGTCCAACCATTCTCCAGCAAGCTCCCTCCATCTGTGTCTATCTGTGTCTATCTGTGTCTATCTGTGTCTATCTGTGTCTATCTGTGTCCATTGTGTCCGCTTCTGTGCCATTCTGTGCGGGTGTGTGTGTGCGGCCATGGTGCAGCAAGTGTGGCGGCGTAAGACTGCTCCGTTGACACACCACGAGGTCGACCAAATACAAACGGTGCGTGGACATAGTGCAACATGACTCCATCATAACACCATCGTCACACCCCCACTGGTGTCACATGGAAACGGATGGATTGCCATGCCAGCATTGGCATGGGATGGGATGGGATGCCTTTCACATGCCTGTCGGAGAAACCTGGCTGTGATGCCCCCCTGCCTCCCTTTCTACCTCTCATGCCTCTCGCGTTTATCCCCATGCCCATCCACCCCATCCCAATTCCTCACATCCCCCCCATCTCCATCCCCCCCATTCCCATGCACCCCATGCACCATACCGACCCCATGCACACACACATCAGGCGCTGAACGCATGGAAGCTGGACTGGCACGCCATGAGCCGTGCCGTGATGCCCCACCGCGACCCCACCCAACTGCGTCGCCTCTTCTCCGATGCTCTAGCTGCCCGCCGCCTCGCGCTTAGGCAGCAGCAGCGAGAGCGGGAGGAGCGGATGCAGAGAGACGAGCAGATGGAGAGAGAAAGGGAGTGGATGGAGAGTCAACAGTTGCTGCAGAGACAGCAAGAATTGCAGAGAGAGCAAGCAGTGCAAAGAGAACAAGAGGAGCAAAGAGAGCAAGACAGGCAGAGAGAACAAGAACTGCAAAGAGAGCATGAGTTGCAGGAGGAACTGAGGTGGGTGAATGAGGAGATTAGGGAGGAGGAGCAGAGGACATTGGAGGGGGTTGGTCGGTTCTCAGGTGAAGGGCATGGACGTGACGAGAGAGGGGGCGAGAAGGGGGAGGGGGTGGCGAGTATGGGGAGGAGCAGAGGGCTGGAGCATGAGGAAGCAGGAGGAGAGCAGAAAGCAGGCACATGGTGTGAGGAGGTTCATGCCAGGGAGCAGGCAGCATGGCAGCATGGCCCACGTGGCGACACAAGAGCTGACATGACAATCAGTGGTGCCACGTCAGCTGTCATCTTACCAAATACTACCACACCAGATGAGCCCACACCAGATGAAATCGCAGCACACAGGAACAGAAGCAGCAGCACAGGTGGCGGCACAGGTGGCAGCAGAAAAGGCACTGCAACATGCCACGTGGCATTCCAGCAGCTCTTTCCCAACCGCCTGCATCTGCTGCAGCCGGCCTTGCAGTCGCGCCCTCCCCAGGTGCCACCTGCCCGCCCTGACACCGTAGCGAATGCGGGATCGGTGCTGATTCAGCCGCACCTGACGCTGATGCAGCGAGCTTCAGAAGCAGGGAGGATGGAAGGGCCAAGACTGGCCAGTGGGGAGGTGGCATCCGGGGAAAGTGTATGTGGTGGGGGAGAGGTGAGGGAAAGAGAGGTGAGTGGAGAAGAGGTGAGCGGAAGAGGAGTATCTGTGGCGGAGGGTGAGGAAGGGGCTATAGGAGGGGCTAGTATGCTTCTGAGATGGTCCCTGCTGCAACCGACAGTGCCACAACCAGCAGTGGTACAAGCAAGGCCCTTGCAGCCAATTTCTGAGGGTGCAGGAAGAGAGGGGCATAGGGAAGAGGAGGTGGTGCAGGAGGAGCAAGGAGGGGCTGAGAGCGAGGTGGAAGCAGACGCGGGAGGAGGGGAGCCAGAGCAGCAGCTAGTGCAGCAGCAGCAGCAGCAGCAGCAGCAGCAGCAGCAGCAGCAGCAGCAGCAGCAGCAGCAGCAGCAGCAGCAGCAGCAGCAGCAGCAGCAGCAGCAGCAGCAGCAGCAGCAACAGCAGCAGCAGCAGCAGCAGCAGCAGCCGTTTGTTCAGTTTCGCAAGCTGCTGCTGCGGGGAGTTGTGACGGGGACGAGTGGGGGTGGGCTCATGGCGCCTGCTGTGACCCTGTCCAACGTGACTGTAGCGAAGGTAACTGCATTGCCCGAGGCAGCAGCTCCCGTGGGAGGAGGGAGGGCAGCACGAGACAGTGTAATAGGAGAAGAGGAAGCACGTGCTGCTACAGTTGAGCGCAGCAGTGTGGCAGCAGAGGCAGCAGAGGCAACAGAGGCATCAGAGGGACGGTTGGAGGTGGCAAGAGCAGTGAGAGAGGAACCAGCAACAGCAGCACGTTGTGAAACAACAGCAGCGGCACAAGCAACAGAACTAGAAGGAGCAGCAGAGGCAGCAGCAGCAGCAGCAGCAGCAGCAGCAGCAGCAGCAGCAGCAGCAGCAGCAGCAGCAGCAGCAGCAGCAGCAGCAGTAGCAGCAGCAACAGCAGCAGAAGCAACAGGAGCAGCACAAGCAACAGCAGCAGCAGCAGAGGCAGCGGCAGCATCGGTGGCAGCAGCAGCCTCAGTGGGTCGAGGCATTGACCACCACCATCACCCTTCTGCTGTTGACCTGCTAGCTGCTGCTGCTGCCGCCGCTGCTGAGTCAGATGCACTGTGTGCTGAGTCAGATGCACTGTGTGCTGAGTCAGATGCCTTGCGTGCTGAGTCAGATGCCTCGCGTGCTGAGTCAGAGACAGTCAGTCTTGTTGATAACGAAGTTTTGTTCAGACAACCACGTGCTGCTGGTGGTGCTGCCAGTGCTGCTGCTGGTTGTGCTGATAATAGTTGTGCTGCTGGTAACCATGTTGACAGCAGTAAGCATAGAGATGATGGGGGTGGTGGGTGTGAGGGTGAGGGCACGGGGCAGGGGGCACAGGGAGACGGGTCAGCACATGCCGCCTCTTGTCACGCTCACGCTGCTGCTCATCATGATAATGGGGCTTCTTCTTTTGCTGTTGCTGCTGTTTCTGGTGCTGCTGATGGTGATGCTGATGCGGATGCTGATGTTGGTGCTGATGATGCTGATGCGGATGCTGATGTTGGTGCTGATGATGCTGATGCGGATGCTGATGTTGGTGCTGATGCTGCTGATGCGGATGCTGATGTTGGTGCTGATGCTGCTTCTGATAATAATGATGATGCTGCTGCTGCTGCTGCTGCTACCAGTATTGCTGCTTCTGCTGCTACCAGTATTGCTGCTTCTGCTGCTACTGCTGCTGCTGGTGCTGATGCTGATGCTACTGTTGATGCTTCTGCAATTGCTGCTAATGCGAAAGCTTATTCCAATCCTCCTGAAGCTGGCACCGGTGCTGCTAATGCTGCTTCTGCTGATGCAGGTGCTGCTGAGTCTATTGCCCATCAGGCATGCCTCTCTCCCATTGCCCACCACCCTCCATCACTTCCCTCCCTTGCTTCACTCTCACCATCTCCTACATCACCTCTTTCCTCCTGCCCCTGCCCACCATCCCCTCCCTCCCCTGCGTCTTCTCGACCCTCCCATCCCCCTCCATCCCCACCACACTCTCCTCCTCCACCTCAACCTCCCTCACCTCCCCCTCCCTCACCTCCCCCTCCCTCACCTCTCCCTCCCACTCCTCCCGCATCTGCCTCAGACAATCCGCCCCCCACCATCTTCATCCGGGCAGCCTTTCTCTCGTCGCAACCTCTCTCCTCGCAACCCCTCTCATCACAGCCCTTCTCATCACAGCCCCTCTCGTCACAGCCCCTCTCGTCACAGCCCCTCTCGTCACAGCCCCTCTCGTCACAGCCCCTCTCGTCACAGCCCCTCTCGTCACAGCCCCTCTCGTCACAGCCCCTCTCGTCACAGCCCCTCTCGTCACAGCCCCTCACCTCACCACCAACACCGTCACCTCCTCTTCTTCCTGTTCTCCTCTCTCCTACCACCTCAAATCCACCTCCCCCAGGTGACCCTTCCCCTCGCCCATCCCAGTCAGCCCCTCCCTCAGATGCACCTCTTCTGGCTGGTCCTGTTCTTCCTCCCTCTGCACTGCTCGCAGCCCTCTCTCTGCCGCTTTCTACCACCTCTGTACCTGCACAGCCAATGCCCGCCCCGCCCACAGCTGCAGCAATGGACGTGCCTGCAGCAGCACTAGCACCACCACCACTACTACTGCCAGTGGCAGCAACTGTGGCATCAGCAGCAGCACCACCACCACCAGCAGCGTCAGCAGCAGTGCCATCAGCAGCAGCAGCACCAGCAGCAGCAGCAGCAGCAGCGGTTTCTGCTGGGCCTGTGGCCCGCCCACCAGTGGTTGCTGCGGGGAAAACAGCTCCTGCTGTGCCTCCCTCTGCTGCTGCAGCAGTGGACAGCAGAGCAGCGGACAGCAGAGCCGGAGGGGTGGCGGCACAGGCACGTGAGAAGCGGGCAGCGAGCAGAGGAGCAAGAGGTCAGGCGGCGGGCAGTGGAGGAGGTGGGGGGGCTGCACCACCCCCGCTGCCAGCAGCTGCTGCAGAAGCATGCGGAGCAGCAGAAGCTGCTTCTGGTTCTTCTGAAGCACCTGAAAGGCCACCAGCAGCGGCAGCAGGAACAGCAGAAGCAGCAGCAGCAGCAGCAGCAGCAGTAACAGCAGCAGCAACAACAACAGCAGGCGTCGCAGCAAGAGCAGCAGCAGGAGGGGGGTGTAGAGCAAGCAGTGAAGCCCCAGGTGTAGCTGTGCCAGCGCCCACTGCGGCACCTGCTGCCTGCCCACTGGATGCAGCGGCAACGAGGGGTGCTGTGAGTGCACGTGGAGGTGCATCCAAGGCAGGTGATGGGCTCACAAGGACCTGTGCTGCTCACAGCACAGCTGGGGAAGGAAGGGCATGGCTGTTGGACGCGGGTGAGTGGGCAGATGCGTTGCAGCACAGCACAGGCCCCTCGACGGCACCTGCTGTCACCATCCCTGCTCCTGCTGCTGCTGCTGCTGCTGCTCCTGCTGCTGCTGCTGCTGCTGCTCCTGCTGCTGCTGCTGCTGCTGCTGCTGCTGCTCCTGCTGCTCCTGCTGCTCCTGCTGCTGCTGCTCCTGCTGCTGCTGCTCCTGCTGCTGCTGCTCCTGCTGCTGCTGCTCCTCCTCCTGCTGCTGCTGCTCCTGCTGCTCCTCCTTCTGCTGCTCCTGCTCCTGCTGCTCCCCCTGCCTCTGTGCCCCCTGTTCCTCCTCCTTCTGCTCCTCCTGCTCCCCCTCCTGCTGCTGCTCCTCCCTCTGCCTCTGCCCCGCCTCCTCCTGCACCTGCTGCTGCCAGTACGGACCCCCTGGCCTTCCTCCCCATCCCTCCTCTCCCCCGCTTCCGCAACTTCCCCCCTCTTCCTCCCCCCCTCCGTTCACAATCCCCCACTGCAACCAGGCCCTTCCAACCTTTCACCTACTCTCACTCCCCTCACTCCACCATTTTCCCATCGGCATCTTCTCTCTCCCCCTTACGTCCCACCCCCTCCTTCCCCACGCACCCCCATCCCACACGCCCCCTTCCCCGCTCTGCCTTCCATACCCCATCCAAACCCGCCCTTCCCACCGCCTTCCTCCCAACCACCCCTTTCTCTTTCCCTCACTCCACGCCTTCTCTCTCCCCATCCACTGCCCCTCGCTCCACTCCACCCCTCAAACCCACACCCTGGCCCACAACCCACATGCCATCCCCACCACAACCACCACAGCCATCACAACCATCACAACCGTTGCAACCTCCTCCCAATGAGCCCCTCTTGTCCATGCCCCTGCCCCCACTGCCTGCCTCCACTACCTCTCCCTCTCCTCACTCCTCACCTGCTGCTCTGCCCCCACCTGCTCCTCACTCCTCTACTGCCGCACCCCCTGCCGCTGCCGCTGCTGCAGCCCCTGCTACTGCTGCTGCTGACCCTGCTGCTGCCACTGCTATTCCTGCTGCTGCTGATTCCACAGCGCCTCCCTTCCCGCGTCGCAGGAGGCGCAGGTGGAGGGGTGTGTTTGGGTTGCCGCCCACCCGGGGCTTGGGGGGAGGACCAGGTGCCGTGGGGGAAGGAGGAGCAGGCGGAGGAGGAGGAGGAGGGGGGGGAGGAGGGGGAGGGGCAGGGAAGCCGTCTAGGAGCCTGGCGCCAGTGATGCTGCCTGATGGTCGCATCATTCAGCTCTGCCCCTCGCAATCCCCCTCCTCCTCCCTCTCGCCCTCCCCCGCGCCTTCCCCTGCCACCGCTGCTGCTGCTGCTGCTGCTTCTACCCCTGCCGCCCCCTCCTTTATGCCGTACTCTGCCTTCTTTCACCTCTCCCCCTCGCCCTCTACCATACCTGCTCCCATACCTGCTGCCATACCTGCTGCCATACCTGCTGCCATACCTGCTGCCATACCTGCTGCCATGCCTGCTGCCATGCCTTCTGCCATGCGTGCTGCCATGCCTGCTGCTGTTAATACTACTGTTGTTCCTGCTGCTGCTAATACTACCACTGTTCCTGCTGCTGCTCCTCCCACTGCCACCAGTATTGCAGCCACTGCTGCCACTACTGCCCCTCATCCCACTGCTCCTCACCACCCCCACGCTTCTCCTGCTACCCCAGGCCCCGCATTGCATAAAAGTGCTGCTTTGGGGAATGCTGTAGCGTGGAGTGCGGCACCAGTGAGTGCTATAGGTGCGCCATCTGTAGAAGCACTAGTCAAACCTTTGCATTGGACTGTAGCCAAGTCAGCACCAGTAGCCACGTCAGCGCCGGTGACCAATGGAATGAAGGCAGCCAGCAGAACAGCTGGAGCGCCAGAGAGCAGGATGACACCTGTGGCACAGAGAGTGAAACAATCTCTTGTACCACGTGGCAGAAACGGGAGTACCAGTGCTGATGTGGCGACACGTGGCAGCAGCAGGACCGGCAGTGCTGATGTGCCTACCCCACCTGCTCCTCCCCCTGCTGCTCCTCCCACTGATTCCTGTGCTGCTGCCCCTGCTAGAGCTGCCGCCTTTGCTGCTACTACCGCCACCGCCCTGCCTGCTACGGCTGCTGCTGCTGCTGCTGCTGTGCATGCGCCTGCCGCCACGCGCCCTCCACCTTCACCATCGCACCCTGCACCTCCTCCCTCAAACCCCTTTACTCCCAATTCCGCATTCCTTCAATCCCAGCCGTTGGATCGCCAAACCTCCAGTTCCCCATCCTTCAAAGTGCTTCCAGGTGCCACAGCCCTCTCTACTTCATCCTCACGCACTCAACCAAGGCCACAGCCGACCCACAATCCAAACCAGAATTCGTGGCTTGGTTTGTCCAAGGCAGGCAGCGGAGGCTCGGCACAGTTGGTTCGGCCTCGCCCTATGCTTCCTGTGTCTGCCCCACCCACTAACTCCACTCCTTCTGACTCACTTCCCTCTGGATCCGCTCCCACTGACTCCATTCACCAGCGTCCATCCATCCGAGCCGCCTTCCTTGTTAGCCGCCCATCCGCCGTGTCTCCTGTCACCTCGGCATCAACTCCTGCTGCTGCTCCTGCTGCTTATGCCTCTGCTGCTGCTTCTGTTGCTGCTACTACAGCCAGCACGGAACGTGCACCAAAATCACATTTTGCAGCGCCAGCTGCCTCAGCCAAGGGAGCCTCACTTGGCGCTGTACAGCTCGGGAAGATGGGCGTGAGTGGCGCTTTCACAGCCGCTCCAGCTGAGGGATCAGAGCAAGAACAGTCAAGAAGAAGGGTCTCCAGGCGCATGGGTAGCAACACGGAGGATCCTCCAGTGCCCTCGTCGCTTTCACTCTCGCTGTCCCTGTCCCCACCGTGCCCCCGTGCTGCCCAGCCTCCACGTGCAGTGGTTCCCTCCACGCTCCAATAAGGAATACATATTGTGGGGAACAGATATGAGATACAGCTGGCCAAGTAGGTGTATCAAACCTGTATATGTATTGGACATGTGTCAGTCTCTGGCATTTTATTCATTGAAAAACAAGGATCTCCAAGCAGGGATGGGCATACAACGTGGAACATCTACATCATAAGAACACTGACTGATTATAAAGCGCCTATTATTCAGCGAGCCAGGGTGCCAGATTGAACACTTCCTGACCGCAATTGTGGTGCGACTGTCGCTCGGAACAAATACCTCTGCAGAGATTTCTGTTCTAGCGTCGAGATTCTAACGGCGCTTTATTCGCAGACCGCTATTAGCTAATCCAGGGGCAGCTAGAAGTTGGTGCTGCTCTTGTACGTGTTCCCAACGGTCCACTTCTCGGGAATGACGTCCTTCAGCTCCACGCGCGCGCCGCCCACCGCCGTGACGCGCACGCTCACCTTCTTCCCCGCATCCACGATCTCCTTCGCGGGATCCAAGGCCCACGTGGCGCTCTCCGCGAGCCGCTTCAACTTGCTCCACTTCTTGCCGTCCTTCGATAGTTCCACTCCCTCCACGCCGCCGGCTTTCGCGGCGCCAAGAATCTGGACCGCGAACCAGTACTGGTTCGTCCCTGGCATGATTTTCACCCCGATGTCGCCGTTCTTCGGGCAGTCGACGCTGCGGAACTTAATCTCCACGTTCCCCGCGTCGCGGCCGCGGACGATTTTGTCCCACGCGGTGGAGGCGAGCAGGAACTGATCATCGCCGTGCCGGCCTGTCGCGCGCACGATCACGCTGCCGCTTCGGCAGCTCTTGTGGTTCTTGCACTCGATCTCGTAGCACGTGCCGCAGCCCTTGCCGCCATCGTACTTATTTTGGGGCAGGTACGCGGTCAGCCCTTTGTAGAAATATTCCGAGTCGCGGAAGTTGCCCTCATAGTAGCACGCGCCGCCGCCGGAGTTAATCCCGTCGCTGAACGTGGAGCGGTAAGTGGTGGCACTAGCGGGAGCAAGGACGGCGAGCGCTGCGATGAGCGCCGCGAGGGCTGCGAAAACGCGAAGAGCCATTTGAAGCGCGAGGAGAGGGGATCGCTTAGGGTGGAACTGGGATGCGAGTTAGGCAGTACTGGTAAGACTGAAGTGAGCAGGCAGGAGGGTGTACGAATCTCAGGAAGCGAATATGATGCTTTGAGTGTGTGAGATGGTCTGAATGAAGGAATGCGGGCGTTTTTATACGCCATAGTAACGCGCGATGCGGCGGGGAGCAGCGGGGGCTTCAGCTCGACGTCAACAATTATCGAGGCGCCGCGCCGGGGAGCAAGCAGTAGATTGTTCCGGGAAGTCGCATGTTACCTATGCGGGCTTCCCAAGGGAGAGATTATTGGAGGCTGCAGAGCATGTGTGCTGCTCTTGACGGCGCGCGGTCCCAAACCGAGCACAACTCGGGGAGGACTAGTTCTCTGTCAACCAGGGGGGCAGCCGTGTGATGCGCTTCTCATGCCGGGATAATTATTGGAAGCTGTAGAGCACATCCGTACGGCTGTCGACGGCGCAGCGCAACATGCGGTCCCAAGAACAGCTCAGCACACAGCGGCATTGCCCAGCAGGGAGACATCCGTTTGCCGATACAAGACCTCGTATGAACACCACTCCCTGACAGAATGAGTGCAGCCATCCATCTAATAAGTACATACGGGTATTACATGCTACGGTAGTGTATACCCCTTCTTCCAACACCTAAGAAGCAGAACCTTATTTCCTGAAGTGTTTTTGGGAGAGAACACATTAATTAGCAGCAATAACACATTAATGAAAAACAGATGCCGTAACATCTCAACGGCTATACGTGGTTGTAAAGTGAATCCCACCCCATGACCCAGACAGGGACAGAGTAAACCAAGATGCCGATAAGAAACGACGGCAGAATGGTACTGATGAGATACGCGTACGAGCGCCACGGGGTCCCAAGGGTGTAGTGGAAGTAGAGAATCTCGAGGGAGAACATTGACACTGTGCTAAGACCTGTCAGGAACCCCAGCTGCACCCCTCCGACAATCACTTGAGAAGTATGTGTCTTGACCTGAAAGTGTGACACAAACGAGTGTGCAATTATCATTGATCAGGCGGAGGTTAAACACTGCATGGACAAAGTTCACCGACCCAATCACTGCGCAGGTGTCGAATCAAAAGAGGGGCACATAGTACATACATACCGCGAGATACGCGACGGAAATGGCAGCTTCCAAAGCAGCAGCCCCCACGTTGGCTGTAAGGGTCCCCCACGGCATCCATGCCACCAACCCCGCGTCTCCCTCCCCCTTCCCACCACCCTTTCCCCCCCCTGCTCCACCTGCTCCCATCCACCTCCCCAGGCCAGCCCCGTTGAGGGGCAGCAGGGACCAGCGCAGGCACGTGCCGAGGGGGGCGAGCGCGCAGGCAAAGAAGAAGGCCTGCAGGCTGGCGCAGTGTGCGGCGGCGAGCACCGCCCCCGTGATGGCCGCCCCCCAGAGGCCGAGCGCGCACAGCAGCATGGGGATGAGGTGGCGACGGGCGGATGATGATGGGGAGAGAGTGGGGGAGGGGGAGTGTGAGGGGGAGGGCGGATGTGAGGGCGAGTGGGGGGTTGGAGTAGAGGAGGAGGGAGGGAGTGTGGACGTGGTGGTTGGGAGGAGCGAAGGGACGGGTGAGGAGTGTGGGGAACTGGAGCGGGAGGAGAGGTAGGAATGGAGAGAGCAGAGGTTGTGGGCTGTGTCTGCCCCCACGACGACGGAGATGATGGGCAGCACGGACCCTGGTGGATGGGAGCAGCAGCAGGGGGGCCAAAGGGGGAAAAGGTGAATCTTCTGGATTCACGAAAGCCAATGCTTGCCTGCTACTAACTCGCAATAGCAAGTGGAGATGTAGCGGTGGCATGAAGTAGCTCTAATCTGCAAGCTGAGCACTCGACAAGGCCTGGACTCATCATAACCCAGTGGTAGCAGCAATGCCGAGTATGGGCTAGTACCACGTGACGTGACAAAGATGGAGTACCCTGGGGATGCCCCAACAGAGGATCCAGACCATGGGGCCAACTGAAGTACTACATTCAAAAACCTTTCGGACGATGCAGAGACTGAAGTAACGAGGCCTGACCTGCGAAGTAGCCAAAGAGGGCGCGGACCCAGAGGCCGGCAGTGGCGATGGCGAGCATGCGCTGGTTCCACGTGGCGAAGGTGGAGATGCTCCCACACAGCCCCACCACCAGCCCTATGGCCAGGTGGCGTGAGTGTGAGAGCAGCGCCGGCAGGAACACCACCCCCAGCATGCCCAGCAGGAAGCAGCCGAGCTGCGGGAGGGCGTGAATGGGAGAGAGGAAGGAAGGAACGATTGGAGAGAGAGGGGGAGGGAGGGAGGGAGGGAGGGAGGGAGGGAGGGAGGGAGGGAGGGAGGGAGGAGGGAGGGAGGGAGTCGGAAGAACCTCCAATCATACTTGACCCCAAGGAGCATCAGAGAGACAAGAGGAAAAGTCCTTGACACTATGTTAGCACGCAGGTCGATGGACATTGCGCACTCTCGAATCGTGCATCGCCCCACACATAGCACCACGCTTCGCATCGCGGATCACATCGCTCGCATCACTCATCTAATCGCACATCGCATCGCATCGCACCACTCGCATCGCATCGCACCTCTCGCATCGCATCGCATCGCATCGTATCACATCGTATCGCATCGCATCGCATCGCATCGTATCACATCGCATCACATCGCATCGCATCGTATCACATCGTATCACATCACATCGTATCGCATCGCATCGCATCGCATCGCACTGCAGTCATCCTATCGCGCATCGCCACTGGCGTGCGCCACTCGTGTGCCACCTTTTGCGGCGCCTAGTGCGCCTGGCGGCACACACGCACCATGTTGGCAGGCAGGTCGATGAAGATGGCCTGCTCGTCGCTCGTCACATGCGCCACCTCTGGCCCGAACAGCAGGTCCATGCCGTGCTGAATGGCAATCTGAGGGGGAGTGGAAGGGAGCATGGAGACACTTATGAGAGTTTGTTGAAGTCACGTGGACTATACTGTCTTCAATCAGCCTACCTCTGTTATGCAGTAACGAGGATGGATGCGCGCGCCACAGCGCGTCATGCCACTCATGAAAGACCGCGCGGCGAACGCTATCCTACCGCGCAACACACTGCTGGTAACATGCCCTACATGCGCCATTCGCTCGCCCCCGCAGCGCTACCAATGCGCAATCCACTCACCCCGATGATGGAGAAAGTGGTCAGATGCGCCACGATGCTCAGTCGATCCAACGCCACTTCCGCCCATCCCGCCAAGCTGCTACTGCCGCCGCCGTGCCTCGTGCTGCTGCCACTGCTGCAGTCGCACCCGTTACAGCGACGGCCGATGCGAGCCGCGCAGGTGTGCGCGTGGCGCGAGCAGCAGGAGCAAAGCAGCCCTCGCACGAACGCGCGGTGGCTGATGTAGCTGTACGTCGTGACTGAGAGCTGGATGGGGGGAAGGAGGGAAAGGGGGAAGGGGAGGAGGAACGAGAAGCGGAAAGGGAGAAAGAGGAAGAGGATCGCTCGGTGGCTGATGCAGCAAGAGGCGATGAAAGCTTGAGGAGAGTGGAGGGAGATGCGACGGCGGAAGAGGGAGGTAGGGTGGAACGAGAACGAATGGCGAACGCATGACGCAACGTTCGCATCGCACGAGAGGGAGGGAACGAGGGACGACCCGGCCTTGCGCTTTCCCAAAAAACCCTGAGATTTGGTGAACGCACCTCGGCAATGGACGTTCGAGGAAGCTTCGCCACGGGCGGCTTCGGCTCCGCGGCAACCGATGCATCGTGTGAAGGCGGCTCAAGAGTGACGCCCACAGTGCAGCCATCGATCTCCGCGCTCCTCGGCGGATCATCCAATGGCTGCTGTCGCGCGCGCGGTGAATCCGCACACGCGGACGCGGCAACAGCGGGGAGCCGCGCGCTTAGAGGCGAGTCAGAAATGCCGGATGCTCTGTCTGCTCCTGCAGCCGCCGCGTCGTCGGGCGTCTCGCAATCTGATGAAACAGCGGGTTCGAAATCTGGCGTCCGAGCGTGAGACGATTCGCGGTCTCTCGCGCCGCCGTCTGGTGGGCCGCCGCTGGCGCCATCATGCCTCTCGACATCCCGTGCGGCCACGGCGCGCATGACGGGAATGCAGCCGCAAGTGGCGGCGTCTGAATCCGCGCGGCCCAACAAGCTCTGCCCATCGTCGTGTTCTCTCAGCTCGTCCGCCCCATCGCTCCTCTGTCGGTCCACCATTGGAAACCCCAAGCAGTCACACGGCGTACAGTCACAAGTTAGTACCCTTGGCGTGCGCGAGGCGTGCTCGAGGCGTGATTTGCTGGCAGGTCATTCAATGCGGCGTCGCAGCGCGAGTCGCAGCGAAGGTGGAGGGTTTCAAGGACCAAAAATGTCGTGGAAAGGCGGCTGAAGAGATGCAAATATAGGTAAGCTACACACGACGAAAGCGAGAAACGCGTGCTCTGGAGCGGAGCGGGAGGACAGTATCGATACGATAGTGCGCATTGGGTTCTTTACTATGACGCGGTGTCGGAAAGCTGCGTTACCGGAAAGCCAGTGACGAAAAGCAGGGTGTAGAAGGGGTCCTGTAGTGACCGAGAAACCGTCGGCAAGGTCGCAGTTGGAAGGGTTGCTTGACTGAAAGTAGCGCGGTTTTCAGAAACAAACGTGGAGCAGGACCAGGCAGAAACAAAGGCAGCAGCTGGTGCAGGGTTTGGTGTGCTCGAATAGAAAATCAGTTGCGTGAATTCCGAGTGAAAACACCCGACACTGTCGTTTTTTTATCATTTTGTTGCCCGAATAAGTTATCTTCACGATTTTTTGTCAGGGAATTAGATGCAATGCTGCCTGCCAGATGCATGGTCTTTTTGTTTGGGGCTGAATATTAGTTTTGGTGGGATGGATAAGCTTGCCCAAGGAGTAGCCGAAGATGCATCCGGACAGGCGCAGGGAAGGGAGGATGTGGGGATATCTCTGCATGCGGACGTCAGTTTTGTTCGTGCGGACGAAATGCTGGGCTTGGGGGAAGGCTTGGCTGGTAGCCGTTTGGGTTTGTGCAGGTGGAGGTGAAACATGAGCTTCATCCCACGCCTCGTACGCGTTGCATGGAATAAGGGTTTGCATTTACTGTGCGAACTTCGTAGGGAGTGTGCACTTTGTCGCTATTTATTATTCCGGTATTCGATATATTCGTGGTGTTCGCCAGCACAATTAACAGCAAAAACGACGAGATCAGAAAGGTCAGTCACGCCTTCCTGATCCTGTCAGTAAGGGTTCATTAAGTTCCGTCAGCATGGTCAGCCCGTAAAAATCCTGCCGAACCTACGATGCCGTCCGACCCAAGTAGAATCTCGAGGGCCTGGCGAACACCCACAATTTCCCACATTTATGATAGTTTCATGGCATTTGGAAATGAGGAAGCAATTTCGTCCACCTCATGCCATCCCGCCTCATGCCATCCCGTCGCAATTCACCACTTCACATGGAATTGCCTTATGATGGCGATGCGATTGGCGAGCCGAGCGTGAGGTAGGAAGGAGGGGGTGGGGGTTCCTGATCTCATAGCCACGTTTCCTATTTCAGGCGCGAATTGGAATTCAGCCCAAACCTGTTCAGCAGGTGTCAGAAAACTTGAACTGTGAGATCCCCGATTGATCCTTCGGGGGGCAAGCCCTCAGATTGGTTTTGGGCTAGTCTGAAAATTCAGAGTTGGTACATGACTTAACTCTGAAAATCAGAGTTTTTCCTGCAGAAATACCACTGCACACTAGAAAAAATCGCATTTTTCCTGGTTTTTCTCAAAAAAAGGCTAAATTTTCAGTGTTCACTTCGAAAAAAGTCTGAAATATCAGAGTTTTTTAGGCAAATCAGAGAAATTTCTCTGACTTATGGGGGGCTGTTCGGGGGTTACAGGCCTGTTAACCTGGGGGGTTATGGGCGCACTGACCCGCTACTGAAACTGTTAGAGATCCACTGGTGATCCCCGATTGATTCTAGGGAAGGGTTACATGCATGTTGGCTTGGGGGGTTATGAGCACACTGCCCCACTACTTAACAAGCCATTTTAATCCCAATGGTCTAGTGGTTGGGATTCTGACATGGTATCAGAGCGAAGATCTCGGGTTCGAATCCCTGTATGTGCACTTCGGGCATCCCAATGCGGGGGGGTGTCAGAGGTCCACTAGTGATCCCCGATTGATCATAGGGAAGGGTTACAAGCATGCTGGTCTGGGGGGTTATGAGCGCACTGACCCGCTACTTAACAAGCCCTTCTATCCCAATGGTCTAGTGGTTGGGATTCTGACATGGTATTAGAGCGGACTCGGGTTCGAATCCCGGCGTATGCACATACAGGCCGTTGCCACTATGCCGAGCTCTGGACCTCCCAGTGTGGGGGGGTGTCAGAAGACTTGCACTGTGAGATCCCGATTGATCCTTGGGGGGTTATAGGCAGGGCCTATTTTATCAGTGTAAATCACACTGTTACCTTGATTAGAAGGGTGAATTCTGGGTAAAAAAACCAGAGAATAGAATTACCCTGATTCGTAAGGGTTATAGTTTAGGTGACACTGATGGTGTAGTGAAAATTTTCCGTTAGCGAGTATTTCTCCGAACAGCGTACATCATGCCAGAATCAAGAACGAGAATGAATGAACCATGAAAGAGTTGGGTACAAGTACTAACCATAATTGGGTTGTACCCCTTATGGGCTACCCCATTATAGCCTACACAATGTAAGCTCTATATAAGTTTGACACATCCCCATAGGCAAAGTGGGGGAGAACAAGTGATCACAAGACCAGGTAAGAAAAGCAAAGCAAGCTCAGGGTGGATCACGAAGTCACCACACATTCCGAGCACAAGGAAATGGCCACAAGGCCAGTTCACATGCAGAGTTATATAAAAGAGAACAAACAGTGCAGTGATCATACCCTAGCAAGAGTAGCATGCAAGCACATATATAGATTGCAAAGTCACGCAGTGAGCAAGTGAGGCAAAATAGGTACAAGGCCTAAAACAGTACAGAAACCCTGATGATCACCAGACTGGAGTGCCTTGGTGAATATATCAACAGTGTTGGCCCGAGTGGCCACGTAAGCGAGACGAAGCTGACCACGCTGCTGCAACTTTCGAGCAAGGAAGTAACGCAGAGCGACGTGCTTCGTTCTGTGCTCCAGTCTGTGCTCCTGACAGAAGGCAATCATGGCCATGTTGTCTACGTACATAACTAGAGAAGAACAAGGCCGCTCTCCCAGGTCGCTCAGTAGGTAGGTGAGCTAGTGTAACTCCAGTGCAGCCATGACCCCTGCGTAGATCTCAGCGTCACAACTGGAACTGAGAACAGAAGACGAGCGGGAAGACCGCCAAGAAACAGAGCCAGAGCCAAGGCTGAAAGTGTAACCCTGTGACGACCGTTGCGTGGCCAAGTCATCAACCCAAGAAGCATCTGCGTGGCCAGTGAGGACAACTGGACCCCGTCCTCCAAGCACGAGCCCCAAGCCCGATGTACTGCACAAGTAGCGCAACACCCTCTTAGCGGCCTCCCAGTGCTCTGGTCGGTGTCTCCCGGGCGCAACGTAGTGTGCCAAGATGCTAAGAGGGTAGGCAAGGTCAGGTCGAGTGCAGGTCATCAGGTACATGAGGCAGCCCACAAGCTCTGGATACGGGCCACTCGACTCTACGGACTCGTCCGAAGGTGGAGCTGAGAGCGAATGACCACTAGGCAGAGGAGTGGACAGTGGCGAGGAGTACCGGAAGCCGAAGCACTGAAGGACCTGGTGCACCATGTGTGACTGAGTCAGGGTGATGGTGCGCCGTGCTTTGTCCCAGGTGATCTGCAAGCTAAGATAGCTGTGCAGCTCACCCAGGTCAGTGCAGGTGTGTCTCTTCCGTTGTTCCGACTTCACAAGGGCCAGTGCCTCAGTGTCAGCAGTGGCAAAGACGAGGTTGTCGACGTAAACGAGGACGTAGAACGGCGGCAGCGAAGTGTCGGTGCGTAGAAACAGCGATAGGTCAGCAGTCGAAGGAGCGAACCCAAGAGCCACAAGTGTCGTCCTCAGTGTGTCGTGCCACTCGCGAGGCGCCTGGCGGAGACCGTAGACTGGCCGGCGGAGGCTCCACTGGGTACCTGCAGGAAACGACCCAGTGAAGCCAGGTGGGCAGCGCAACCAGATCTCCTCGTGCAGGCTACCCTGCAAGAAAGCTGTGCTGAAGTTAAGAGAGTGCAACTCGTAGTAACGCTGAGCTGCGACGTGCAGCAAAACCCGAAGAGTAGTCATCTTCGGGGTAGGGGAGAAGGTCTGGAAGAAGTCAACTCCCTGTCGCTGAATGAAGCCTCGTGCAACGTAACCAGCCTTGACGGCAGGCGGAGAACCCGGCGGTCGCTTCACCCTGAAAATCCACATGCCATCGACTATGTTCGCCCTAGACGGGGAACTGCGTCGACGTAGGTGCCTGTGGACTTCCAGGATGCCATCTATGCGTCCATGGCTGTATGCCACTGAGAGGAGTAGGGACCCGTGATCGCCTCTTCGTAAGAGCGCGGGGTCGGGATGTCTGGTGCATCCGGGTCTCCCTCAGGTGCAAGTAGCATGGCCACGAGATGAAGTACAGCAGCTGTAAGGCACTCAAAGTCCTCCTACCTATCCTCAAGGATGTCCGTACCAAGAGCACACTCACCCCCGACAAACGGAGGACAGTCAGACTCAGACTCAGCAACAAGACTAGTGGCTTTGTCGAGACGACAGGCGGCAACAAAGTCAACAAGCTCAGCAACTAGGGCAGACGCAGCAGTGGACTCAAAAGAAGGGTCAGTGACAACAGTGGCGAGAAGATGAGGGACAGTGGGTCTGGGAGCACGAGCTAGGTCAGACTCAGGGTTAGGAACGACAGAAAGAGAGGACGCAGGAGGAGGCAGCAGGGGAACTCGCAGTGGCACAGAGGAAGGACGAAGTGCCATAACGTGCGTGCCCGGGACAGGAGGAGGACGAGGATGAGTAACACGACGACCAGTGCGAACAACGCAAACAGGCGAGGCAGGACGAGACCCAGGCTCACGACGCTCTGCAAAAAAGTCGGTCTGCTCAGCGTAAGGAGAAGGAGCAGGCAGTGGGGAGTCTGGCTGTAACTCTGGCTGTGACCGGCGAGGCGGGGGACTCAGTAAGCTAAGAGGAAGGCCAGTAGAAGACGAGAGACTAGGAACCTGGCGAAGGACCGAGTCAGGTGGCGGTAGAGACGAC